GTGAAAGTTTCCTGGTGAAAGTTTTAATCACAGAAGAGATCAACTTGGGTTGAGAGTGAGAGGAATCATGTTTGGAGCTTTGTAATTCTAAAGAGGTGGTCTGGTACGTACAACGTCAGGTTGTAGGGGAGCATGCCATGTTTGCTGCTCGCATCTGACTACCCAACCTGTCTGAGTGTAGTCCATCATTATAAACAAAAGACAGCGACAACGGTGCTACAGGAAAACTGCATATGTGACCAGAGGGTGAGCACAAAAACAACTGACATCTGGCATCAGACAGGCTTTGGACCTTTAACTGAATCCACAGAGCAGATGGAGCCTGTGGGCCAGAAGTGTGTGTGTGTGTGTGTGTGTGTGTGTATGTGTATGTATGTGTGCTTACCAGCAGGGGGCCAGGCTTTGATGTATCCAGTGCAATGCACCACAGAGTACTGAGCCTCTCCCTCTTTAGATGGTCCCAGGCCATTTCTGATCACACAGAGAGGTTAGGAAGTTTTTTCACACAAACTTGGTACTGCTCAACCTAAACTTCCTATCAAAGTTTCTTCAATAGTGGTTTTGGTGTTTGTTGGCTCAGACTTTTCTCGCTTCAGCATTTAAAGCAGCACCCAGGAAAAGGTATTGTATTCATACGGAGGGTATGCCCTGTGTGAGCCTCTTTGAGACAGCAGTCCAAGTGAGTTGGCCTGTATGGATTTGTATTCTTAGTGACTGTAGTGACTTTTTTTGATGAATCTGTTATTGGGTCTTCTCCTGTAGCCACCTCCGGCATACTCTAAATTTGTTTTCCTGTTTCTCTTTATTATTCTACATTCTGTACGTTTTTCTGCATCTAACTACTCGAACACATTTCAGCCTATTTCAACTAATAAGGTATCAAAATGTTGAGCTATCTCAGGACTATAAAGCCATACCTTTTGGTAAATCTTTTCAATTTATTAAGATATCTAACCTTTTATGCCTTATTCCTCTCATTGGAATGAGTGGAGCAAAAAATATGGCTCTGGTCACTGGCATTTCAGCCCCTTCAAAATTTTCGTATGTATCGCTCCGTAGCCTTTCAGCCATTGGTATAGCTCAGTGGTAGAGCGTTTGACTGCAGATCCAGAAGTCACCGGTTCAAATCTTCCAAATCATTCCTCCCTTCAGCCTTTTTTCTTCTGCTTCCTCCATTCTTCTTCAACTCTTCAGTTCTATGTCTTTTTCAGCTTTTCTTTGGCTTCTTCTCCTTCCTCCATTCACCACTTGGCATTCTCACAGCTGTTCTGCAGGAACAGCCATATTCTAGTTTCATTAACTCTTATTTGAACCAGGATCCACATCCCTTTCCTATGTTCATCTTTACCTCTTCCATTTCTACCCCCAACTTGAACCATGGTTTGTATCCCCACCCAGCTTTTACCGGTGTGTTTTTTGAGAGGCCTATATAGCTGATCATATTGCTATCTGTGGTAGAAAAGATAGTTGGTTGAGCAGTGATGACATTAGGGGCATGAGTCAGAAGTTATTACCATTTTGATGTAGGAGCTTTAAACAGAGACAACTTCATGACTATGAAATCTCATGTATGAGGATTTACATAACGGAAACAGCTAGTGTTACTGGACCAATGAGTTTGCAGCGCAACATTAAATGAAAGCATCATCAGACGGACGTACCTGTATCTCTTCCTCATGTTGGACAGACGGTTAAGTGAGATGTGATCTAGAGGCGCACTTCCACATCTGCACGATGTCAACAGACACAGACATGGTTGGGGTTAACACTCATAAAACTACTAACATCTGTGCCGTATAAGGGTTGCTTCCCACATAATCTAAACCTAAAAGTCTGGATTGAATAATATCAATTCAATATTTTGGACCCAACAACTGGGATATACTAATTTCATAATAGTAATAACAATAATCATAATAATAACAATGAAAATATAATCTGAAACTAAAATTCTGAACATAATAATTTGGCTTTAATATTTTGGATCTAATAACGGCAAAATGCTGATCATGTTGCACCTCTCTCTACTACCACAGCATGAAGTTTGAATGGCCACTGTAAGGGCAGCAGCTTTCCAGACCATAATACATTGTGGCTTCATGTAGCCACGGGGCCTTTGTGACAGATCTACATTAACTAGGTTGAAGCAGCTCAGCTAGGATTTTTCAGTCTCTGGCACAAATGTCAGAAAAAGGGAAAGTGGTGTTTTATTTGGTCAGTTCAACTTAAAATCCTGCAGCAGTTGATGCTGATATACTGTAGTCTGTAGCCATATTAATCAGGGAAATTCTGCTACATCCAGACATGACCCACATAGAAACGGGAAGGTTCAGCTACGAGTAGGGAGTTTGGTGAGTTTGTGAAGCTGTGGCATCTTGACAGAATGACCCAACAGATTAAAAATTATCATCCACCTCAACGCCATTAATTCTTTTAATATTTTAACATTAATACACATTACCACTGGTCTGTGGTTCTCAGACTCACAAAGTCGGCAAAGCGCTAGATCTTATTTTCACAAGAAAATATGCCACAGAGGCCCTTTCTGTCACACCTCTGCACTTTTCTTCACCATATCATTCAATTTAGAATGACTCTCCCAGAAAGACCCTATGCTTCCATCTTTACGGGCATCACAGAGAGAGCACACTCGTTGTCTGAATGGTACTTCACTGGTCGATCATTCAAAGTATGTTGGCTTTGCACAGTATATGGCTATCTCCCACATTGACTATTGCAGCGCTCTTTTCAAAAGGGCTTCCAGCTTGTACGGTAAAGAATCTACAAATGATCCGGAACGCAGTGGGACGTCTGGTCTTCAATTAGCCCAAAAAGACCTACATAGAACCTTTGCATTCATTATTAATCAATTTAACAGTTTAATGATATATTTCATTCAGTGGTAATCTGAATTATTTCATGATAATTTTACAAATGTTATGAAACATTTTATTAAATAATAGGAGACTTATAGGCATGCATTTCATGACATTTATTAAATTTCATGATATATATTTATTTATTCATTTATTTCGGTTTCTCACCCTTAACACTCCAATAGATGGTGCTTCACTGTAAGGCTAATTTCTATTTCATGTTCATAAATGCATCAGCAGGTTCAAAAAAATCTTTCTCTAGGCTGACCTTAAAGATGCTTAGATCCATTTGAGCTCGCTTAGTTAGTTCCTGTTAACAGGCAGTGAAAGTAGGTACATCCAGAACATCCGGTACATGCAACTGAATCATCAACATTATACAGAGCTGAAAACACAAAGAAGCAGTGCAGACTGAGCATCCCCTGCTGAGCCTACTGACACTGCTTGTAGTGTTTGACAGGCCCGTTACAACCGAGATGGCTCCTACATGGTCCTGGTTTCTGAACCAAATTTTGAACTGGCCAGTGATTTCAGTCCAAAACAAGACAACATAAATTAGATAGGCCGGTTTTCAATTGCGGGAACTGTGACCTCATCAGTTAGGTAATACTAAATGCCCCATTCTGGCTTGCATAGATACAGCCGTAGAATGCAGAATGAAATGTCAGTTAGTACTTGCCAACTCTCAGGGAAAAGGTCTTGTAAATGGAGAAATAACAATGCACTGTGTTGTAAGAACCTAAGAACAAAATTAGTGCTGATTTTTTATTAGTTATTAATGAAGAATCTATTTTCAAAATTGACAAATTAAGGATCACAAATACTGTTTATCCGTGCAACACCGTCACTTTGTCATGATAAACATGAAAAAAATGTCAGTGATAGGATGAAACACATATTTTGCTCCCATAATTTCACACTGACTTCCACAAAATAGTACTAACCCTTTAATCAAACTAGTGCCTTTAAAGTACACCAATCAGTTATGTGTGATCCTACAAAGAAAATGTACTCACAACATATCAAAGACTGAAATTACACAGTTCTCTATGTTTGAATGAAGATTTCACAGCACTGGACATGTTAACAAGTTTGGTTCTGCTGGGAAAGCACACACAAAAAAAAACTCACACTAATGGGAGTTTTTCCATTAGTACCAACTCAACCCTGATGGAGCTGCAGTACAGTAGGTTCTGAAACTGTAACTGTTAGATGAAGCCAGTACTTTGAGCAAATGCAAAAATATGATGTAGCGATACACTGAGTGGGTACGGGTGGAAAAGCAAGAAAAGTGGGTCACCTCATGCGGCAGATGAAGGAGCGCCTGGAGCCCATGCACATCCTCATGGAGGACTGCTGTCCCTCCTTCTTCACTGTTCCCGTTTTCAAGTCCAGAATTCTTCCTGTCAAATAAAAAATAAAAAAACATAACCAGGGGTACACTCTTCCAGCCTTACAGTACATTCCAGATTGACTGGGAACAGCAATGAAGCTCCTCTTTACCATGTACTTGGTGCTAGTTTTGGGGCCACAAGACTGAAGGTTAGTATAAATTATCAGCTAAAAGTGTTTGCACACAGAGGCAGATTTTTGCAAATGCACATCCTCCTCAATTTCACCAAATCAGACACAACAGGAAATGGACAAAGACACATCTGAGAACTCTGCTTACATCAGTTCTGTGTAGGAGAGTAATTCCACCCAAATATTGAAACAAATATTCTACACTGAATTAAATGATTCTCCTCCACTGATATAGTGTCATATGACCCGAAGACGGTCAATGGAGATATGACATTGCCATATTGTATGATACTAACTTCCCTGTGTTTAATATCTAATTCAATTTGATGTTGTATTTGTTTGAATAAATATGGATAAAGACAAAATGGAAATGACATGAAATGCGTAGGTGTAGATCCAGGTCATACTCATCCTCAAAGCTGAATAATATCAGCTTGAATCATCTTGAATCCTGAAGATGTTTTTCCTCTCCTTTAACCAACATCAGTGCCAGCAACAACATAACAGTACTGTACTACAAACAGGCTGGAATATTTGCCTAGGTTCACTATAGTATAAAATATCATTCCATATAAACATGCACATACTTGCTGGTTAGTGAGCTAAGATGGTTTGTGAGATATAAATGTATAAATGCTGAGATACTTGGAGTTGGTTTGTTATCTCCCACCATTAGAATGGAAAAATATTACTGAATTGTAGCTTTAGTCACATCAGTGGGACATTCCAAAGTATACATGATCCATGTAGAAATGGGCTCAATGTGAAAAAGTAGCCTGCTTTTGAGATGTGTTTATTCCAGACCAGTCTGTTTGTTTAGGCAATACAAAAATGTAGCTGTTTCGAGTTAGTGGCTGAGCTGCAGGATGTGCTGTAAGCTTTTCTTGCCAGCAGGCAGATGTAGCTACAGTGAGCACCTTCCTGTGAGCTTTCAAGCTTGAGTACCACAGGGCCTTTCAGAGACCAGAAATTAGATTGTTCAGAATCCAGGAACTGCACAATAACCTTCCACAAGCTACTGGGACAGATAATTAAGACCAGAGCCTCTAAACTGTAGTCAATCATGAATACTTTGCAGCATGTAAAGTGGGAAAACCACATTCTGGGTGTGAAGCACGCTGTTGGTATTCTGCCAAAATAATTGCCTTAAATCTTGTCGTGTCAAAACAAACACTATAAACTTGAATTTAACCTCGACCACTCAACCACATAACTCCATCATAATCTATCAAGCCAACATTGTATTTCACAACATAAAAAGGAACCATTTCACCTCTGGCTGATTGTCCAGTTCTTCTATCACAACTAGCTGAAGCCATGCACAGTGATCTGATACAGGCCAATAAAATGTAGCGTAAAACAGTATGTATGGGTTAAAAATAGCATCAATCTTCATCTGGCTTACAGCGAAATGGATATGAGAGACTCACCAACCAGCCACAATGTAATATTACATTGCTGCCCTCTAGTGAGCAGTACTTTTATGTCAGACACTTCTATTTGAAAGAGGCATTCCTTAAAAAAAAATCAGCCTTAATGAATAAAAAAACAACAACAACATGGAACACACAAAAGACATGAAAAGGTTGACCAAACAGTAGGAACAAGCTGATAAGCCCAGGATTTGAGCTCAGCTTTACCTCAATGTGGCTCTAACAGGATTTTACATTAGTTTAAAGACCAATGTCCTGTGTTTTTCAAAAGCTGGTTGGTCATGGGGATATACAAGTTGTGTTAGTGTAGCGTCAGCTCTGTTCCACATATGGTCTTCTGACATAAAATATCCTGCCTGATGGTAATAATACATGAAGATGGAAACTGCAGCAGAAGTCTGGTAGAAGTGGTTCCTACCCGTCATTGAGTTTTCTGAGGTACTGAGCTGCTCTCTCAGTTTGTCCACATCATCAGGGTGAACCTGCTCATACAGGGTGCTGCCGAACCACTCAGACTGAGGGTGGTTCAGCACCGGTGTCACAGAGTCCGACACATAGATGACCCGGCCAGTCTCTGCAGCGACCACAAACAAGAAGCCATCTGCTGCCTCCAGTATCAGGTGCTTCAGCTCCTACACAGACAGGGAAGTCAATAAGAAAACAGTACATTCACAACATTGCCAAAGTGCACTGGAGACATTTTGAAAAGTAGGTAAATAGCACAATCTGTCAAAGTGTCAGTTATTTACAATGATGTTCCTCACAGCTTTAGTCAGACACTTTTAAGAGACTGGAGACTGATGGAGAAAAGCTCAGTGCACCAACACACTTGCCATTCACATACAGTAGTGAATGATTTACATTCGGGGATGAATAAAGTAGTCTATCTATCTAGTTAGTATACCACCATAGGTATGTTGAAAGAAGAAGAAGTTTCAGAGGGTCCAAACTGTTTTTCTAGCGTATAGTAAAAAAGTCATTTTGTGGTTGAAAGGTACCACATCAATAACTGGGAGTTTAGAATCACCCATGTCAGTCATATACATATTTTTTTTCCAAAAGGTGGTACAAATTAACTCTAAAACCTCTAAAACCTAAATGCAGACTCCTCAAGTCAATAAGCACAACTGAACCAGAAATATCTAAAATTTGGAAACTAATAAAACTGAATGGACTTCTTTGTTAGTTTTACAGTTATCTGTTCAGTCATAATGATAATCATTTTCTTTATTTCATAATTTGCTAACAGGGAACATCTAGCCAAGATACAAAACTGTGTTGTTGAGAACACTACAATTACAATACCTACAACACTGGACAATATTGGTACTCTAAAAAAGAAGGTAATCTGTCAGAGTAGGCTGTTGGCTTTGTATAATTCACAGCTGTGCACTTAAAGAAGCACACAAGAAAGCTGGTAAGATTTAGAAGACAAAAGAGCATTTAGTTCAATCTCAATTAGAAAGACTAAAATATGATAATACAGTCCATCTACCTTTCACAAATGTAAACCGAATGGTTTAGGAATATATTTAACACGTGCCTTAATCAGAGACCGACACGTCTTGGTTGCACAAAGTATTATCTGTATTATTTGAACAAGAACAGTGAGCGAACAGTCGGTTAAGGTTGACTCTCTATTAATACTCATCTTAGCAGAATAGGAAAGCGAAACAATACCCAGTGAAGGTGTATAAGTCCCAGTTGGAAGATCTGTGTTTCTCTTTTCAGTCTTTATTTTTCTGGTTTAACTTCTTTCTGGTTAGGCTGTTGTGATGCCTGATGGACATCTACCAGCACTTGTGGCACGTTCAAGATTCTTTGTGACAGTTTACCTCTCCAGCAAATTGTTTACTTGTTTGGCAGTTGACTTTTTCCAAAACTCCACTAATGCAGGGGAGATGTGATAGATGTAGGACAGGGGCAAACATAATAGCAACGGTTCACCCATAAATTTAGTTTATATCAGTCTTACTGCTACATTAACTGTTTCTGTTTCATCAATTTTTAACTAAATAAACCAATATACCTACTTTTTATATTAATGTTTTAAGGCATCAAACGAGCCAGAAAGACCTATAACCTGTCATGGGGAAATGAAATGGATGGAAATGGAGCTTGGCTCCTCCACATTCTTCATCTTCAACCTCTAAAATCTAGTTTTCATTTTTTCTTTGTGTAATGATAGTGATGTAAAAGCACTAAGAGTTTAAATTGATTTTTATAACATAAGATAGTTAGACTATGTTTTCATTTTTTGATATAGTACTTTCAGGGATCATATTATAATCTTGACTGCAGCTTTCATGAAATGGACAGTTTGCTTTATTGTGTTTTCTCATTAGTATGAATTCTCATTATTGAACTGGCAGGGTTGCATTACTGACACGACATTTGTATTTTTGTATTCAATGCTCTCTACTACCTTTTGTGCAGTTGAATATTGCTGAGTGATGTGGCACTACCCACTTTAAAAAATTGAAATGTTTTTTTAAGTGTTCTTAGGTTTACTATAAGTTACATAACACACATTCATCTCACATTGCAGCTTCAGTTCAGGATTGACTTCTGTATTTGGAATACCAACTAAGCCAAATGATCTATCAGAACTCCTGTATTGACTTTTAAATTTACCTACCTGCTCAGTAAGAAATGAGGGCTTATAGGCCCCATCAGTCGACGTGTTGCCAGTTCCCCTCATAGATTTCATATGGGAGACAGCCATGCGCAGGATAGTCAGTTTATCAGGTTTTCGTGCCAGGGCACTACAAGTAGGGACCATGTCTGACAGCTCGGTGATGTACTGGGTCATTTTATTGCGCCGACGTCGCTCAATCTCACTGTGATTCTCTCTAAAATGGAGGAAAGAGTAGTTACACATTTGGAGGATGTAGTTTTGTTTGAGCAAATTATCAGTAACTATATAATTTGTTTAACGTCAGATTTACTTTAAAAGCTTTAAAACACCACAAAATAGCTCACAAGATGATTGGAAGAAAATTGACACAGGCCCACAGGGCCTCTGCCAATCTTTTGGTCATACTTCCCTGATCCCTCCGTTACTTCTACCATAAAGGCTTTGTAGTTTGTTTTCTTGTTTGGCAGCAGGATTATTTGGAAGGTTTTGACTGGTTTTGCAAGGGGAACATAGACCAACTCAACTGTGTTGACATTTTTTTGGGCCAATCTCTCTCCAGATGTCACTCAGACAGGGGCTGGTGTACAGTAATAATCTGATACAGTTTACCTCTGCTGGAAGCACCAATTCAGTATTCTGCTCTCATTTGCTGTGGGTTTAACCTTGTATTTTCATAGATGGTATTGTCTCAAGTGTAGAATTGAGTTATACCATTTCCTGTCTTACTTGTATTCACTTGAAGATATCTTTATCCACTTTGCATCACAGATTAAAAAGGGCATAAGTACATCCAATTCCTCCTTTATCCAATAAGCTCTTTGAACTCTGCTCTCTGTTTTCAGAGAATTTTGATACTTACCATTGAAAGATTTAGTCATTCCATTAGTTTAGTTGACAGAAACAATGTGCATTAATGAAACTGGCTGTAACTATACCAGTTGTGTTTTTCCGTCGGCATTTCTTGGACAAATGTAACAATGTAATTGTTTCTCCTCATAAACAGACACAAATTTGTTGATGGTCTGTTGATAGTTTGTTCTTGAGGAGATGAACACTCCAAGTCTCTCATGCATTAGAGCTGAAACCTGTGTTAATGCTGGTCTAATAGATTTGTATGCATGCACTATTCAGAATGTTTGGCACCTGATGTTAGTATTTGTCTCAATTAAGAATTGATCAGGTGTAACGTGTGCAGGTATTAGCGTCTGTTGATCTCCGAGTCACAGGAGAATCCACCCCGAGCCCAGCTAGCTAAGCCTACCTGGCATATCTCTCCTTATCCCCACCAGGAATCTGATCATCATCATACCTACAGAGAAAATGGAAATAAGCATGTAACGTTTATGCAAAGTCCCATCACATGATAAGTCATTTCATTTCTGTGTACGAAAGTTCAAGTCATGGACAAACTAGGCACAACAAATGGACTATGGCTTCTTTTACACTTCAATAGTAAGTAATAGCTGTACTGGAAGTCAATTTCTCCCTGGAGATCAATAAAGTATATTCAAATTAGGCAAAAGGTGTCAGACGCAAAACATTTTAGAAACCGTATCTATAAAATATGATACATTTGGCATTACAGGGCTAACGTACACTCTCAAAACACTGTTTATTGAATCTGAACTCCAGTAGATACATATCAGTTAGTCATCTATTCAGTGGGAGTACAGTGAAACATGAACTGGTTAAAACATTCATGTAGCTTTTTTCAACCCAAATTCATCACGTAAAGCTTGAGTGCGTTATCAAAAGTGTAGTTTTGTTTATGGTCAGAGAAGAGCTCCTCCTCCCACACAAATCCAATCAAGTGGTGTCAGTTCAGATGTATAGCACTCACTCTACACCCACACACATACACTACAGTATGAAAAGAATGTAGAAGAACATTTCATATGTTACGCTCGAGTTATTTAAGTAAGATTCATGTCACATTTACTCTTAATTTATATCTTAACTGTGAGTTTAGGAACTCCTTAGCTTGGTAGTGATTGAAAGTAAGGAGATTTGGCTCTGGTGACAGTATTCTCTCATACAGTAGGTAACTGGGTCAAAGCATTCAGTATTGTGACGGAAAAATATCACATATGTTGGATCTATCTGTGCTAAGACCAAATCATGGGAGATTTGTGCCATAGGAGAAGGGTGCCTAATACCTAGCCTGAGCCCCTGTGTCACATCAAAAAGACAGACTGGTTGTGGTATAATTCTAAGGTTGACAATCCCTGCAGCTCCCCAATAGTACTCTTTATTCTGTACTTCATTATGTACGTTTATACCTTTTATAAGGACACCACTATGCTTCCTTTTTTGAAGATTTGAAACTAGCCATTACCTTTTTTCAAGTAGTTTTTTTCCATGTGGAATCAAATATCTGAACCTTTAGTGTTCGTAAAAGTTCTCATCCAGCGGGGATAACTGGAAAATCAAATATGTTCTAACTTGTGTATCAGTAATCACACAAGTACCTGTGTTTGTGTTTAAACATCTGCCTTATTGGATATGCAGGAGGGATGATTTTCAATATGGCCTTCGCTAGCTTTTATTTTAAACAGGAGGGACTCAATAGGTCTATTTAGAATTAACAGAGTGACGGAAAGGGGGAGTCTTTCATCATTTGACATCTAAAACATGTTCAAATGGTGCACTTATTTTCTTCGTCTGTTCTATCAAAAGTCTGTAGTGTTTTTGATGGAGGGAACTTAAAACCAAATCACTGGGTGTCCATGTCTGTCACAAAAGAGGTATGGGTTGTTCAAACATTCCTAAAAAGCTTTGCAATCTGATTTGAATTTATGAGGAGTTATTCTAAACCTGTGTACCCAAGCGTTGCTTCAAGTAAGCACATGTCCTCTCTAATGTAAAACTTTGTAAAACCAAAACCCGTTTATGTCTTAAATTTAATCAGTACATTTAAGAGTCCCTATTGATACCCTGCAACAACAGCCAATGATAAAATACAGAAGACAGGACCATTGCTCTCACCTTGAAAATTTGCTGGGTCCTTCTCCATCCTCATCATCAAAGTCCATTCTGTGAGGAGCAACAAGAGGGAGAAGAGTTAGAATTCTATTAACCCGAGTTTCCCAGTCTGCAAGAAGCAGGTTGCTCTGTCACTTTCAGGCTAAGTGTATCATCAGATCAGTAGCTAGGGTCATCCATTTTGACACATATTTGATTGTCGTTTATGCATTTAGAAACGCATTCATCCATAGCTACTTACAATGAAGATACAACATTAAAGTTAACATCTACCTGACAATAAGCTACATAAAAGAATGTCACGAGTCAGACTCTGTTAGAGACAATTGTGGTGACAGTTTAGAGATAGAGGGAAGTGCGGAAAGATTAGCAGAGGGGTTGGGGAGGTACAGGGTAGGAGATGCTTACTGAAGAGTTGAGTCTTCAAGAGTTTCTTGAAAATAGACAGAGAAGCCCTTGTTCTCGTAGCACTTGGTATGAAGTGTGGCCAAGCCAAGATACTTTAAATGATCGACCAATGAGGTACGATTCAGACCATGAGTGTGCTCTCCCTGTGATGCCCACGCTCCATAGTATAGACAGAAGGATGACATGATTGACTGTGTCAAATGAAGCTGACAAGTCTCGTAGGAGAAGTACTGAAGACGTAGCTGTTGCCCTAGCTTCTGTCACAGCCAGCAGAGCTGATTCAGTGAAGTGGCCACTTAGAAACCCGGATTGGTTTGTATCAAGGAAGTTGTTTTGTGAGAAGTAATCTGTGATCTGCTCTTTCAATGGTCTTCGACAGAAGGAGAGCAGCTGATAGTTCTCCTCCTGAGTTGATGGAAATTTTATCAGTGAAAAATTAGGCAAAAGTGTTTGCTGTTAGCAGGTGGTGGAAAAGGAGGGTTAGAGGAGATTGTACAACACAACACAAAACATTTAGCTAATCACAGTATTCTCAAGAAAAATTGTAAAAGTTTCAACTGACAGGGCATGTTAAGTCCATGCTGGACTTGTATCTGAACAGGAGGGAGCACCGTGTGCTACTTTGTATAAAATAGCAAATACAACTGCATGTAATGGCAGATAAAATTATCTGCTTAAAATATTACTGTGCAATGTTAGTCAACAATAATTTCCTCATATTTTTGGAGGACAAAGGGAAAAATGTTTATCAACATAAGTAAAGGGATATCAATCGAGAACATAAAGCTGAGGCAGTTTGTCTACTTCTAAGGAACTTAAAGTTAATATTTAGTCATAGTTCCTTCATTCTACAACAACACAGCCTGAACCCTGGACAGCAGATGAGAGAAAAAGCAGCAAACAAAAGAAAAGAACTATACAAGAACTTCAGAAAGCCAGGACCAATTCAGAAGGTTGAATAGGGAAGGAAAAACATGAGGGAAGGATGAAGATCTCGCAACCCACAACACAGTGACTGTTTTTTTTGGGTTAAACCTGATGTTTAATTGATAATACTCACCCTCCTGATCTTCTCTTGCCGCCCCGGCCTGATACAGTTCCCCCCATCCTCACCTGGCTGGATCCAACTGCTCCAGCCATGGCTACTGTCCCTGGCAACTCACCGCCCATTTCTGAAAGAGAAAACCACAACCAGCAGAGGATGAACAACAGTATTTGTGTATAAATATATATATGTGTGTGTGGCAGGCTTATTGCATTAGAGCAAAACTGAAAGGTAAAGACAGCAAGATGAATAACTACTTCACTGTGTTGATCAGATAAATTAATATTAAAGGACAGTGAAACATCTTGTTGAAAGGGGAACAAGCTGTATCAGAGCCCTGTGTTGAAATGAATATGTCAAAATAAACATATGTTGTTAACTTCCACAAAAAGAAGAAGAAAAAAAAAGGGTTCTTGGCGCAAATGTGTGCAGGTGGGCATCAAAAGTACGTAATCGGAATGACAAAGGTGAGCCATCCAATGGAATAGAAAAAAAAGACGGGGCTTATCGGTTCATCTGTGTACGGCTAGTAATGTCTTCAGGAATAAGGAGAGCAAATCTATTTGGGTAAAAAAAAAAAAAAAAATTCTGGCATTTTTCAAGCAGATTTTTAACATTTAAGCCAATGGAAAGAATGCACCACCTTCTCTAACTCTAAATGTCACTGTTAAAATTCAAAATAATGAACTGCTTTGATAGTTTCATTAGCTGTAAGAAGACAAGATTACCCATTTTTTACTCTAATTTGTGCATAAAAATTGAAGGATGTGGAAGCAAGCTGTAAAGTTTTGAATATTTTTCTGAATGAGCTGTACAGCATTCTCACAATAATAAAAATAGCAGAATAGGATCACTACAGTGAGAATGCTGCAGTATTCTCACAGTTGATTACTGAAAAAAGATGGAAACAAAAAATATATAATTATAAGTATAGGATGTCAATGTCTCAGGATGACATGAAAGTATCAAATAAACAAAGAAAATGAGTAATGAAAGACGAGATGCAGCACCGAGAAGACAAGACTTAAAAGAAAAGAAAGATATAGATAGAAAGATATGATAATGACCTAGGATAGAATTACTTAGAATAGCCAAGTCCTGAAAAGAAAGATGATTTAGATTGATGCACCAGAAACAGAGAAAATAAGATCCTCGATGAGCAGATGATGATAAAAGTAGTGAATGTTTTCAAACAATAACAATAAAGAATATAAAACTATTAAGTGTGTTCTGCGTATGGTGTAAAACAGTATGGCAAACATGATGAAAAGGGAAAACAGGGTTTACCATTAAGTGAAGCATTGTTCGTATAGCCATTTTTAACCAACCATGAGAGTTATACGCAGAGTACTGTAAAGCCCCTAGATGGCCCCGTTTCTCCGTGGAAAATTTGGCATGTTATCTGATCATTTATATTCTCTTTAATTTATGGCATATATCATGGTGAAAATGTGTCAAACCATAGCATGACAAGATGCAACAAAAGTTTAACACAGTTTTGACAATCAGGCTGAAAATGAAATCTGGCGAAACCATTATTTCCTGTGGGTTGTGACTAGTGCTCGTCTATTGTCTCATTACTTTACGTTTTTAGGCTTGGGCCTTTTTTTATTTTATTTTTCTATGTGGCTCCTCATGAAGGATTCAATTTCATCATTAATTCAGTCATTCTAAATACCTGGAAGAGGTGGGTATAAAAAAAAAAAATCACTCAAGTAAAATGACTGTTATTTGAGTAATATTGTACTGTTACTGTAAGAAATATTACTCAGGTAAAAGTCAAGGTAGATGTCAAACTTTACTTGAGTAAAAGTAGTGAATAACTTCTGAGTACAATTGTATATCATTAAATTATATTATCCAAATGTACTTACAAGGAAATATAACACTTTTATTAAGACTGAATGACACAAATTCAATGCATTTTATTTACATAGCGCCACATCACAACAACAGTTATCTCTCAGCGCTTTCTAAACAGAGCAGGTCAGACCCTACTCTGAAGTTATTTACAGTTAACAAATGAAAACAGACAGAAAGGCAATATTAGCCAAAGGCGTTTGGGAATAAACCTCTCATCTTTTGGCAAAACTTAGTTTTTAAGGACTAAATCTTTTTTCACAACTGCACAAACTGTTAGATATGAACTGAAACCATTCCCAACACATCAATCATTTAAATTTCTTAATCCAAATCAGTAAAACAACCAACAACATAATAAAGTTAATGAGTGTCAACTAAATTAAATATAAGTCGGTTTTCAAAACATTACTCAGTACAGTGACTATAAATGTAAGGTACACATGGATTGAGCTCCCCGCTCAAGCTTCAGGGGTGGTTCTTCAGTGGACATCCTGTTCAGATTCGACATTTCTCTATGTTGCATGAGTGTGGTGCCCTGCTCTACCTGTCAAGAGATTTTGTCTGGGATGTTTGTGACCGTTTGGCTTCACTTAATTTTATACAAAGTCAGGTGAAGAGAAATTGAGCAACCATTGCACCATAAATAAATACTTTAATTTCATATACCGTATTTTTCGCACGATAAGGCGCACCTAAAAGCCTTCAATTTTCTCAAAAACCGACAGTGCGCTTTATAATCTGGTGCACCATATATATTGATCAGGAGTGAGTCACATGAGGTCTCGCAACTACGGAAGCAGTAGAAGTAGTGCGCAGTGCTTGCTTGGTCCTTATAATCCGTTGCACCTATAGTGCGGAAAATACGGTACTTAAAAAAAGTAAAGGTAACAACAACTTTTACTCCGTTATAGTGGGGTTTATGCCACAAAGCCCACTGTAACAGAGTAAAAATTGCATTTTTCTCCCCATAAAGTAAAATTTTTCCAAAAAGCTACTTCACATAATGTAACAAAGTAAATGTAACCATGTTCCTATCAAAGGTCTGCTTTTAGAGGGCACCAGCCCCTAATGGAAATACAAAACAACGAGAGGGCGAGTCATACTCAGCAGGCACAAGTGGAAAAGCCCCTTTAGGCATGTGGCACAGAGAAACTGGGAGTCTAACCTACACCCTTTTGATTGGTCAGCAACCACTTTCTCCTATACACCAGCCATTTAAAAGTTAACATCCACAACAGTTACATAACCCTAACATTTGTTAATTCTTTGAAGTATTTAGGTCTAAACTAAAATTTTCTTTCCACAGTGAGATTTAGTCTAAAGTGGCCGGGGATGACAGCAGGTCACAAGTGAACATTAAAAAAAGACCTTCTACAATGCATGATTCTTGAGAGCAAGCCAACTGTGCTGTTTTCACAAAGACATGAAGGAAGAGCCATTTCTGCTGTCTTCCCTGGATGCAAGAAATTAACCTAACAAAAAGACAAAAAGAAAGACTGTAAATCACATAAAGAGATATGGTTAGCAAGTGGGGGGAAAAAAGCAAAAAGAAAAAAAAAAGTCAGATTTTGGCCATTTTTGGTCTTAGTGTGAACACAGTCGAACAGTCTAATCCTTTTTTTTTTCATCCATGGCTCTGAATAAGCCCACCACATCATTTATCCTATTTCAACTGTGGGAGGAAGATGAAGAGAATCCTGCAGTTACCACCAACAACTAAGTTAGACAATTTTCTAATTATACCTGGCAAAGCTTTTTCAGGGCTCTCTGAGCTGACTCGGTTAACGCTTTGACTGCCCTGTCTGCAGTCCCTTATGGCGCATTTCCACTAGTGCCAACTCAGCATGGCATGGCTCTACATGGTATTTATGCATTTCCACTAGTGGCCATGAAACAGTTACAACTTTGACACCCACCCGTGTAGGGCTGAGTAGGAACTAATGTAAAAGGTGCTTCAGCCCAGCACGGCTCTGCAGCTTAGGTTGTTTTTAATACATGTGGGGAAGCTTCAATGTGAGTGGTTAAATTATCAGAGGGTGGCCATAAAAAGTCTTGAGTCATTTGCATGTGACACAACAACAGAGGACATCATGGTGATGTTATACTATATTGAGCTGAAAAACATTCAATGATACTGGACTACTGACTGTACGACAGCATATAGTCAACAAAAAGATCTCCATTCTATTGGCACAGCTTCAATCATTGTGGTCTTTGATTGCCTGATAGCTTCTTTTCAGTTTCTTCAACTATAACACTACCAACATTGTTTTGCTGTCTGAGAGTATCCCTGAGCAGCTTAAATTCAGATATTTGTTAAGAGACATTTTTCTTGAGCATAGCTTCCTGTAGTTTCCGCTAAATATTTTCTTCTACCACCAGGCACATCAGTTTTGCACCAGTATTGTCTTGCGTGCTGCCATTTTTTGTTTTTTTAAATATAGAGGGAGTCGTTTCTTTTCACGACCCATTAAGGACACTCTTAAGCACTCTCCAGCCAATGCAGTGTTTAGACATCAGTTTTTCCGCCCTCCTAAGCCCTCATGGAAGGCCGGCAGAGTTTGTGTAAAGTTTAAACTGTTTATTGAGGCCTGCCCCTAGTTAAAAAACAAAATTATTATGTAAAGCAGTGCCGTGGTGGACTGAGTGGGCGCGAGTGGAAAAGCGGCATTACTTGCTGGTCTGTATGAGGTCACTAATAAACCAAGCTAGTTTTGGTTGACATATTATTCTGAGATCTTACTATGAATCTGTACAGGATTCTCATTAGATTTAAGTCATCAGGAAAGATAGAGTAATTTCAACTGATAATTGACGCTTTGGGGTTCCATCTTTTAGGTGAAATAAGTTTACAATGGAAATAGCAAATATTAGATTAATATTACAATCTAATATTAAAGTACTTGCCACCCAATGTGAACTGGTGGCTGTCTTTCAAAGAACTACAACTGATGTTTGTTTGGATCGTGTTTGGTATGACTGTAAGGAGAGTTAGATCGGATTGAATCGCCACCAATCAGAGTGTGTAGTGTCTGACATTCAAGCAGAGGTAAAGAATGTATGACGAAAAACTTTTTCTAAGGTCAGAGGATCATAGCAAAGGCTAGATGTGTAAAAACAGCGGGAGTCCACATTAGAAGTCAATGCACATGCAGCATAAAGGGGTTAGATATCTTGTGCGACGAGATGAACCAAATATACCGGTACTATAGATGTTTTGACCTTATGAAATCCTCTTTTTTTTTTTATGTGTTATCCAAAGTTAGAGACTGTATAATACTAACAAATATTAGCTGCTTACAGATACAAAAGCATTATTTTAACTGGCAGTTTATTTTTCGCCCACCACAAAATAAAGGACAGCTGCTGGCTCAAAGACCCTACTTTCATCAACTTAGTTACAACAACAACAAAAAAAGACCAAAGGCAAACAGCTCATCCATCATGATCTATGATATCAAAAGGCCCTTTTATTATAACAAAAAGATTTTAATATTAGGCAACATGGGACAGAACACAGCAAATGCACCATATCTACCAAAACAATGCACCAGCTAGAACCAGAATGGTTTGTTGGCAAGGAGCAGTCAAAATACAAAAATCACATATTCCAAAAAAGAACTCTCCTGCCTGGAGCGGAAGTGCAGGACGGTGTCAGCAGGTGGAGCAGCCGGGCAGGAGTGTCTGAGTTCACACGTTTATACCACTGAACACAAGGCTCACAAGGTGAGGGGCCCCACAGTCAGGGTTGACTCGATTTTGTTCCTGGTTCTGTTCACACCGAATACACATATTTACGAAGACGAATCAGGAGACGACACAAAAAAAAACATCTTTCACAGTGCTTCCTTTTCATTCCAACTAGTGTTTAAAATGTCTCTCACGTAGCAGTACCCTGACAGAAAGCGCCAGAGATGAGGGGTAATGAGATGCAAAATCTGCTTTTGTGTCACGGACTCGGACCGCTGGCCTAACTCGCGCACGACACGACAGAAACACAAGAGGACAACAATGGAGCGTTACCACATCTACAAAAAGTCCGACACGCCTGGAGTCGCAGAGGGGAACCATAAACCTTTGAAACCTTTGGGTCGGTGGGGGAAGGGGAGGGATGCTGACTACGGGCTTCAGCGGCCTATTCCACACTGTCCTTTTGCAGCTCCCAGCGTTGACTTCAGCCGACCTTTTCTCACATTCACAAACAGCCTTTTCCGCCCAACAAGCACACCCGATATGACTTACCGGACGGGTTGACTGCAGCGGGAGTTGCCATGTTCCCTCAGCGGAGAAAATAGAAAGGCGGCAGTGATGGAGATGACGCACAATACAGCGAGAGAGCCCCGCGAGAAACCGTCTACACTCCGCGGAAATAGCACATGAAGCTCGGTCCAGCCTCCAACCTTACATCCGTTGCAGCCGACGAGAAGCAATATGACTTTCAGAGACTAGCCTCCGTGTGTTTTGTGTTTGTATATAGACGGGATCAATGAGAGTATAATGACAAAAAGCTGTGAGACTCGACTTAATCAAATGCAAGATGTCTGAATGGTAACACCGCGAGACTTGTGGGCAGCTTGAATAAATGAATGTTAAACAGTAATAGGTGGGATTGCTCGTTTCTGTGTGGGTAATTGTTGTCAGTATGCGAGGTGTTCGGGTCGAATGGAACTCTGGTACTGATATTTTCGCTTCCCATAACCCCCCCCTCCCCCGACTTTCGCCCCCTTTCAGCGTTCACCTGTCAGTGCCATTTACGTGTGGAGATAGTAGCCTATGTTCTCCTCAGCTATAAGTGGATTTCCTCCGTACAAATTGCTTAAAACTAAACTAACAAGCTTTAACCATCCATCCATTTCCTGTAGTGCTTATTCCTGGTAGGATCATGGGGTTCTGGAGCCTACCCCAGCTGTAAATGGGCGAGAGGCGGAGTTCGTTTTGGATACATCACCAGTTAACATTATATATATTTAGCAGCAGTAAATTAAAGTATTGCTGACAAACTCTTTGTAATTAATGTATATTCACCATAAGCAGATAAACAGAATTACATTTTGTGAAAAGAAATTTCAGTAAAGTTTATTTTGTCCTTTACAGACTAAAGTTTTACCTCATTAAAGGAAGTCAGTTTTTTCATACATTATTCTATTCTGGGCTTTAGAGAGCATTGGGGTAACAAATTAGGCTTTATATATACACAGTATTTATTTGAAGATTCATTGTTGGTTTTGCTTTCCCTTGAAAGTTGTAAGAAGTTAGGATAATTTGACATATCGTCATACACATGCTTTGATTTACTTTTAATTCACAGAATATCGGCTATAAAATGATCATCTAAATTCATCCACCTCTTGTTATATGCAAACATGTGCAGCACTAAAACAGGTTCTTTCTGTTTTTTATGCTATTTAATGTATCCAAAAACCCAAGATATAGCATGAACATGTGGTTTAACTACTATTAAACAAACACAAAACAATAAAAAATTGCCTCATCTATTTTTGGACAGTGTTACATGTAGCCACACACAGTGAGAACAGAGCAGGATGTATGGAGTTTAGATGTGTGCAGCACCCTCCTTTGCTCTGTTTGTGAGACTTAGTAAGGTGATAAAGCAGCCACCAGTTACTTTTTTTCCCCGTTGACCAATTATTTGTCTTGTTGCCTTATCTGACCACCATCTGCCTTCCATTTTCAACTGATCTCCCATAATATTTCAGCCAACTTGGCAACCAACTTCATCTCCACTCTTTCTTCCACTGCAGTTTCTTACAATTGCCTTCCTTCAGTGGGGGTGCAGCATGTGAAGGAAGAAGGCAAGCAATTTGAAATGTTTAAGTGGTGTGTAATCATGCTGTGAATTTTTTTTTTGCTCTGCTAGATTTGTTTCTGCAAATTTTTCTAACATAAATAAGTGAAGCTCAGGCAATTACATGAGCATTTTGAGATATGTGACTTCTGTAGTGGAGTATGGAATCACTGGTAGAAATGTTAATTTCCTTTATTTTAATACATTCTTACTTCTTGTTCTCATTATTATTCTTAAACATAGATAAGAATATCCAATACTGGAGCAAAGCAGGGTGAGCTCATTCAAAAACAGTATCTTTTAACACAACTCTGCCAGTTTTTCTCTATCAGCTGTGCTTCTTGATTTGCACTGGAAGGACGAAAAATATGGCATGAATTTCAGGTGTGCGGCATTTTGCAGAAAGTTTGTGAATAAAACTTCAGCAAAATAAAGAAGTATGCGTAACACGTACCATAAAAATCTCTCCAAACTATGCCTAATTTCATCCAAATGGTTTTCAAACTGTCTCCAAACTCCCACTGACCGCAACTCTCCATCAAACAGCCACATTTTGAGTGGAGCCGTACGGGTTTCCACCGCTGTCAAATGTCGTGCAAAATCCGAATCAGTCACGTGACACAGCCAGGAAGCGCTGCTGGTGAGGTTATCATTTTCAGCTCCTCCCCTAAATGAACCCAAGCCATGACGCGCGCATCGTGGAAACGCCCCATTCCCCCCTCAATACACGGTTTATGGGTTGAATCCTCGATACTCAACGTCACACTACTAGTTCCTCCGTTTAGCAGAGCGACTTTTGTTTCTTGATAACTTTTCGAAGTTCTAGCTTTCCTCCGTTAAAGGAGAGTTTATTTTTTCCTCCGCTAAGAGAGAGTTTATCTTTTTGATAAGGGTTCCACCTTTTGGAGCAACTTTTGTTCTAGATAGTTTTCATAGCCTTGTCTGAAGTGAGTTTCTTTAAAAACTTAATTTTTCATAGCCTGGTGAATCAATAATAAAGGCCATTTATTACTTAATTCCTGCTTATCTCGGATCGTGGATCTTGAGGGGATCAGGGCCTTAGCCTGGCCTGTGTTGCTTTCTTGTGCCTGCTACATTGACACCAGTTTCCACCCAGTCGTTCCTCATTTGTTTTGTTTTGCGTTTTCGGTTTTTGAGACAGAATTGGGGGATTACATAATTTTGTCCTTCTGCTTGGTCTAAAAAAGCTATCGTTACTGACTACCACTTTTTTTCTTGATTTCTTTTAGTGTTTCTTAAAGCCATCGTTTCCACTTTAATTTTGTGTCATGTCTGTGATCTTCTTTTTTTCAACAAAATTAAACAAGTGAATGAACATCCTCCGAGGCCGGTGATTCCATAATTTGGGCTAGGGGGTGTTATTTCTCTTTTTGGTGTTAAGTCTGTGCTGGTACAGGACCGAAGTGTTTCCTATTAAACTGTTCAATAAAACCAGATTTTTCACTATAGCTAAATACATGACAATACATATACGTAAGGGATTTCAACCTCCAGGTACATTTAGATAATACCTTTATCCCTATTGTTATAAATACTGGGAGTTTTTTTCTTGTGAGATTTACATCACAAATACTGTACAAAGTCAAAACAAACCATCATGGGGGAATGGATTAAAAGTAAGTGGGTAGGAGTGTATTTGCATTGATTATAAACAAAGTTACTGGAGCTATTTAAGACAATGTATTCTGTTATTTATTAAAGAAATTACAGAGTCTCAGTATTGTAGGGCTGGAAGTATGATCCCCTGGCAGACTCCAAAGCCCACCCTGTAACCATCTCCTTGACAGTAACCTAAGAAGACACTGGACATTAGTAATTCATCACATTATTTACACAACAATCAGTAACAAATCATCACATATTGGACATCAACAATCATATTTTTTGTCCGAATTCCATTCAAATGCATTCAAATTTATAATAAGGAAGTGGAAAAGATGAAAGTCTCTGACTCTCAGGCGTTATTTATATATAATAGACTTCTAATAAACATTTTGTCATGTTGGTTTTCACTACTGGTGCTCTGCCACATTCAAAGGATGGGGCATTGGTACAGAACATTATCATTGTGATCAGTGATGGCTCTACTCTGCTATTGCTTTGTTATTGTGGAATAAAGTATGTAAACTTAAAAGACCAAAGTTAAATTAATCTGTTTGAGTGAGAATAAAAAAATAAAAATTGTCTAAATGTATTGAAAAGGAAAACAAGAAAAACATATTGGAAGTTTTGCTATAAAAACCCTTAAATTCTGTGGGAGAAGTGAAAAAACATGCATCTAACTCTCCTGTCAAGGAAAATACTAATGGAACAGATTTGTGTGGTGGCCTTTTTCCTCATCAAAGTTGGCACTGCTCATATGATCACGTTGAACAGTATCTACCCCCTGTGTTTCTCCTCAGCTTACTGCAGTTTATCATATCTATAGTAATGCTGTTATGTTTATTACTTTGAAATTAAGACATTTTAATCAAATACAAGAATGTGTCACTACGTCCACTTTCAAACTGTACTGTATTGCTTTAGGCACTTATTTATTTGTCCATGAATGCAAGAAATGAGTGCAGAGGGAATTATCAAGAAAAAATCAAATTGATTACAATATAGAATGAGATCATGAGTAAAGCTTTCTGGGGAGACACTAATAAATGCATCCAAATTGAAAAGGTCTGCAATGCTCTGAAAAAAATTGCTGATGGTGTTATGTTGCCTTTTGTATTCTGTTGGTTAACTCACAAAAGGACTGTTTCATAAAATTACATAGACAACCTGCTCAATAGATGTCACAATGTAGTTCCAAGTGATCTCTGATTAATTTTTTTAGTAAAGGTATCAACAATAAAACCTGCGATGGTGACTTCATCTCCATCATTCAGAAAGGTTCTAGTTTTTCCTCCTCCGACATCAATGCTTTTAGATCCTCTCCATGACAGCTCCAGCATGGAACCAAAACTCTGTGGATCCTGTAGGCATATACAGGCCATGCATAATTTGTTTTAGAGCAGAAGGAGGTATGATGAGGACAAAGTGAAGGAAACAAGTGCACTATTATTGAGAGATAGACTTCTGTGTGCTGACATCCTTAGCCCTGACATTTTTTTTCTTCACCAGAAGTTTTACCAAATCAGACCTACTAACACGGATCAGCACAGCACAACCACACATCAGGAGACACAAGTCAAGTGTTAGCTTGGGGTTTCTGAAAATCAAAAGGTTAAGCTGGTGTAGACTGCAGTGTGGGCTCAGTGTTTTCTTTATCATACATACGTACATATGTGTGCAAATCACATTTGAAAAGTGCTTGGTATCAGTCTATGGAATCTTATGTATATAAAAGAAAGATCACATTAAAAACTCCCCTGACCATGTCTTTAAAATGAATTTTCCACACCCACAAATGACCACAAAACACCCAAAAGCAACTGAGTAACAACTAGGTGCTGAGCATGCAGACACTCACAGGTCCACTGATGGTACCAGAAGCCAGCAGATCTCCTGGTCTAACATTACAGCCATTGACTGTGTGGTGGGTGAGCTGCTGCTTCATTGTCCAGTACATGTTCTGAAAACAGACAGACAAACCTCTTCATACTTTAGACAAGCTTCCATCAGGCAAGACTATAAGACAACATGGCACCAATTTATATTGTTATACAGTATTGATAATCCTCAGTTATACCTTTATATGAAACCATGGGAAACCAATCAGTTGGTTAAACTTCAAACATATCCTCAAAACACATAGATCTTGATGACTCTTAATTTCATGCTTCTCAGTTAAGACAAAACTGAAGTTGTAGACTTTTTACTTGAGCTCTTCCAGGAGTAACTGTTTTGTGACATTGTGACACCAGATGGGCTTCTATGTCTTCTACTCTGACAGTGTGGAACCTTGGAATTATTTTTTTTACCAGAATCTGTCTTTTGACTCGCATATAACACATGTTTCTGGGGATGCCTTCTTTGCCTATTGCTAATCTTTAAAATAAGGAACGGCCTGTCTCAAAGTGATGAAGAAGAAAAAAGTACATGCATCTATTACTTTGAGGTTAGAGTACTGTAATTGCCCTGTCTAAATAAAATTCAATTAAATTTTATTTATAAAGCTAATGGTTAGGAATGGCTCACGTAAACCTGAAACACCCCAAAGTTATGCTGCTTTAGCCTAGACTGCTAGGGAACCTCCAATGATACGAGTCACTCTTATTTTCCATTTAGCCTCTTTGTCGTTGTAGGTAACTTGTGTATCTCCTCCTCTTCAGGTATCCTGGGCTGCTGTCATGTTGTAAGTTGTCCTTCTTTCCTGTCCTCTAAAACAGCAGGTAATTAAAGCAGATCTGGTTTTGGCAGAGGTTTCTTCACGTTAAATAAAATAAAAATGTGTGCACCTAGGATGGGAGGTTTGATCTGCTGGTTTCCTTAGTTAAAATTTTAAATGGCTTTGTATGAATTTCATTTATTATAAATGTAATAAACATGACTTAAGTGAATTTTGGATCACTGGAATGTACTTAAAATGTAATCTAATAACTTGTGTTAAAATCATTGGTTGAAATTAATGGTTAATGGGTCACTGAACCATGATGTAATATTATTTCTCTTTCTTGCAATATTTCACTAATTAACGTCATGGCTACTACCCCCCTGCCGGACTGCCTCTCCCTATTTCTGCTTGTCAGTGTTTGTGTCTGTTTATTGTATAGATATGAACTACTGCTTTGGATGTGTCATATTCTTTTTTGCTCTGTTAATACTTTGTATGAGTCCTTCATGTCACAAAGCTTTTGCTGGCCAATATTTAGATATACTATGGGCGTATAGTTTTTATGTTTTTTAAATTCGGCCTCAAACAGGTGAACTTAATACATAGAATTAAACATACACGCCAGGCATTTCCTAATCCAAGTTTATCCTCCAACTGTTTCATAAGTTTTCACATGAATCCGTTTCTAAACTGTGTGCCTTACAGGCTTAATGCTCAGCTTTATATGACAAAACCTGCACCAATGCTAAAAACTGGCAACAGCTGAACAGTTTCTGTGATCAGTATCACTAAGTTGCTTCCTCAGAATAAAAAGTTACAATAGATAAATATATCATGAAAGAAATACACATATCATGAAATACATAACCGTAAAGCACCCATTAATTAATTATGTCATAAAAGTATTTAAAACACCATTAAATTTACCACTAATTTAACTAATTTTAAAATCATTATCTACATAAATAATCAAGTACATCATAGAATTATTAAATATGCAGTAATATAATCAAAGATCCCAAGCAATAATCTGCTTTTTTTAAATAATGAATTTGAATGCAAAAATCTCTTCTTAAATTAAATAATTTAATTATTGTACTATGTATTTATTTATCTCATGCCTCATGTGCTAGTGCTGTTGTCATGAAATAATTTCAACTTTCAAACTAGGCGATTAAACTCAGTGGGCAGGACTAATATTGATGCTGTTACCATCTTTTTAGCCTTATGTCTGTTTTGTATTGTGTTCAAACGAGGTGGCTCTGTTCATGCAGGTCCTGAATGAGCTGTACTGAATTGACAAGAGACATTGTAGACCAAGCTAGGGAGGAAGCACATTTAATTAAGGAAGCAGAAGATTCCTTCACATGCGACCCCTGTGACCCTGTGCATCCCCATTTGTGGGAGTGCACAGACCTAAAGTCATCTATCATAGCTGTTGTCAATTATGTTCTCAATTGCGAGTGTTTTAAAACATAACATCTCTGGACCAGTGGTTTGAGCAACACAAATGTTTCATTGATGTGTTGTGAAAAGTAATTTCCTGAGTGGATTGGTTCATTTATCCTATAAAGTGGGTAATAATATTGAGCTTCATTCATTCTTATTTTTCCTCTTTTTTTCATAAAGGCTTGATTAATTACAGACTAGATGTAGATTTATGATAATCTGGCCATTTTCCGGTTTAGAGATCTCTTTCACCTATCATTAGCTGCATTATTGTACTAAAAATATGACAAAGTAAAGGCCATGACTAACACTTTTGTTGCATTTAAGCCAAAAAGACGGCTTGAAACTATTTCAATAAAAAACTATTACCGAGTAGGCTATAACCCTGACTGCCTATCCTGTAAATCCAGCAGTAACAAATTTACAACAGGATTTACAATGGTCACAGTGTGCAGGTACAATGAGTTGAAGGCCAGATGACAAGACCTATAAACACTTTTTCTATCCAATAGCACTGTGAAAACAAAAAATAAAAAGCCTTAACCATGTAAAAGTGGTCTTGAGAAAGAAAAAAAGGTAAAAACTGATGGTCTTACAAAAGCATGAACATCAGGGGATGCATTTTCGGCAAGGTCTGCCAAAAATATGCATCCCCTGCTGTGCATCCTCTTTTATTTCCTCAAGTTTGTAAATAAAACTTGTGGAAATAAAAAATCTTGCATATATATGCACCCCCCAGGTCAGCTTAACGTGCATGGAATTCACAAAGTATTATATGTAAGCAGACACGTAGTTGCATTGCCTTTTTTAAACAGACAGCCCGTTCTTACTTTAAAATTTGAAGTGCAGAGGTTGGCGGCTTCAGTCATGTCCTGTCCTTGAAGAGTAACAGCAAAAGTTATTTTAGTTAACAGCAACACAGTCACTATTTACAGGCAGCCTGAGCATTTATGTTTTTATTCATTCATTTTACCAGATAGAAAAACTCATCAGGTCATGAAAGAAATCATTTGTTCCACTTTTATCAGCTACAATGTGAACATGGTCATCATCATGTTGAAATTAGTTTTGCCTCTCCGTGATAGATATGATCTCGGGGGATTTACCACTATTACTATGTGTCTAAGAGTGTCTGTTTATAAGTGTGTTTGAACTGTTCCAGCTGATTTGATCATAGATACAATACCTTTTAGAGATACAGACAGGTTGATGTTGAAAGTGTAATTGTCCTGATGTTGCAGGTAAGGAAGTGGTTCAGGATCCTGTAAGAAGAACATAGAGACCACATAAGAGGGTCACAGCTACATACACAAACAACCAGATTTTTAGCTAAACTATTTTCCATAAAAATAAGTGTTATTTTTAGATATAAATTATTATATTTATTTTCTGTTCTAGTTTGGATGCTATGCTATTTAAATGCATTTCTGGTAGGAAGTCCCTTGAAATCAGTTATTGTAATGTGTGGCTAACTTGTTGATATGTGGCAGAACATAAATATAGAGAGTTACCGGTAAATATTTTTTCATCAATTCATCAGTAACACTACCAGTAAAATTATTGAATTGATTTGAAATTATTTTGGTAAAAAAAAGATGTCCATGACATTCTTAAACAATGAACTCAAAATAATTATTAATCAACATGAAATAAAGCCGGCTGGTGAATTTAAGTATCTGGGGGTAGGTTTAGATTCAAAATTGAAATTTGATGCCCATATTAAAAAAATGACGAAAACTATAAAGACAAATATAAACTGTTTTCGAATTATTCGACCATGTGTGTCAAATCAAGCTGCACAAGTATATTTACATGCAATGATTTTATCCCATATGTCTTATTGTTCCATCGTTTGGGCTCAGGCCACAAAGTCTGTTTTAAAACCTTTACTCTCACTTCACAAACAAGCACTAAAAATATTCGATCAAAAACCGGTGAAGTGGCATCACTGCAAAATTATTAAAAAATACAACATGATGACATTTGAAAATTTTATAAATTTCTAATTTTTAAAAGCTATTTTTAAATGCCTTAACAGTCTTGCCCCTGAAGCAATCTGTCAATTTGTTTTAAAGTATGCAAATGAAGGAATCAGGACAAGAGCTGGAGCTAGTGGGAACTGCAGGATTAAAAGATGTCGGACATCCATGGGTCAGTCCGCCTTCTCAGTGAAAGCATCACACCTCTGGTACTCTTTGCCTCTGGAGCTTAAGTCACAGACTGATGTTCGACTTTTCTCCACAAAATTGAAAAAATGGCTCAAAGACAATCATGGGTGTGAGCACTAAACTGGCTTGTACTTTACATTTCTTTTTTTGTTTTAACTCTTGTTTCTTATGCATCTGTGTGTTGTCCCCCTTAATGCTAACACCTTTTAAAAGCCTAACCAGGGACGAAGGCTGCAAATTAGCCCATGGCTACAAGCCTTATGTAGTTGGACATCGGCCACCTGTTTGGTTGCAATGTTTAATTGTACTGTCCCTGTCAAATAAACAAATAAATAAAATAAAATAAAAAATGGTCTACAGACTATTGTACTCTTGTATCTTTAAAGCCTAACCCAAGATATAATGGGTTAATTTTTTTTCTTATCTGAAATAAAATGTAAAAATATTGTCTTTTTTATTAGATTAAATAGATATTTTAAGCATTTTTTCTATACAATAACATACAAAAAAATTTATAAAATATAAAACCGGTTTTCTGTCCATCATATTCTGTTCATCATATTGTTGATATAATAAGACTTAGAAATCTACTAGTCAACATGGTTAAGGGGACTAAGTTAACCAAAAGACATTTTATATACTAATATGGTAATTAGTAATAGCAAATAGGCTCTACAATGTACAAATATTACAATGTACAATGTAATCTTTTCTGAGGCTGGACAAGGAAAATTATATTAAATGTTGTCAATAATCCATGAAGAGAGATATGTGAGTAGTCCATAAAATTTGCCCCTGATTTTACAGTCAAAAATACCACACATAAAGTTAGGACTACAGCAGTGTAAATAGGCTGATACCTCCATGAATTCAAATAGGCGAGATAAAGTCACATCTTACTTAAAGAGGTAAAGCTCATACTAACCTGGGTTTGGTTGGGCTCTGAGAAAGGCAGGAGCGCTTCCATTGGAACAACCCAAGGGGAGATGGTTGTCCCAAAGTTCTTCCCAAGAAAAGGTCCAAGAGGAACATACTCCCAGGCCTGGATATCCCTTGCTTAGAGTAAACACAGGCAAGCATATCAGTAAGCCAGTTATGATCTTGTAATCCATCGGCATGTTTCCAATTTTTCAAGGAAATTATAAAACATTTTAGAGGTTATGTTTTGACACAAATGTTTAACATACCTTGAAATGAACATTTCCTTGTCATTCAGGAGGAAAACAAAGCATCTAATGTGGCGTACATTTATAGATTAGAATAATGTATAACACTAATAGAGAGCCTTTAATGAACTATGCACAGACCAAGAGCCATGTGTAAAATAAAAGCTCTGCCAAGCTGCACATTCAGCATTACTGTGGCACACTAACACATTTATCTAATTTATTGCAGTGCCGGTAAAAATCTGGGGAATATTACACAGAAATGCAAATGTTGATATATTTTGTCCGGAGAGGAATGCAACTCAGGCTGACTCCAAAGCCCTACTTCTTGACAGGCCTGTGATACACATCTTATTATAACTGACAGTGACTGGAGTTTTCAAAAATCAAAACTTGAGATTTTTGACTACTAGAAATCCTTGGGCCCTGGTTCAAGTCTCATTGCAGATCTTTTTTTCTCCTTGTGTTTTCAGATGGACTTTACAGTGAACCAGTCATGCAAATTGACATCCGTCCATCCTTCCATTTTCCACCGCTTATCTGGAGTCGGGTCGCGGGGGAGACCTCAATTGGCTCCTCTCCTCGTGGAGGAGCAGCGGTTCTACTCTGAGCCCCTCCCGGATGGCCAAGCCAACCAGCGGAGAAAACTCATTTTGGCTGCTTTTGGTCCAGCGCCTGCATTACTGCCGACGCCGCACTGATCCGCCTGTTGATCTCACGCTCCCTACCCCATTGTAGGGGAGATACTTGAACTCCTCCACTTTGGGAAGGACATCCAGTCCGACCCTGTGGAGGCACTCTCCCCTTTTCCGGTGAGAGACCATGGTCTCAGACCTGGAGGCGCTGATCCTCAAATTACAAATTCACACTCACATGAAAAAAGACTTGTCATTTAATCCAAATCCATTTCAGTCATCAAGTGTGAAGGTACAATAATCCTGTTGCTGTTCTGAGTGACTTCAAACATAAACTACACTTGTATGAATATCTGTTCCGGATAACATGAGGTTGTGGATGATGTGGATAATGTGTTCAAATCCGTTTATTTTACAATGAGCTTGTGATATTTTAAACAACGATCAGCACCCGTTTAGAATAGTTTTAGCTGAAGTTTTATATAGCCTTAATTTTGCACCATTTTCAGAATGTAAGATATAACTTTAGATCCACACTGCATCAGGGAATGTGTTTGACTCTTCTTATTCCAGTCATTCCTGATTACCATGCTAAAGATTTGTGATGTGTTTGAGTCTTACCACTCCAGTCGTTCATGAGTACCATGCCAAAGATGTGCTCATGGGCTTTGTTGATGGGAATGGGCTCCCCCAGATGATTTCCCCCTCCAACAAAGAATGCCTGTTCAAAGAGGACAAGCAGCTCTAAATGTCGCAACGATGACATAATAAAGCCTTTGCTGCAAGTATAGGCAGGCCTCTTCTTTCATGTCAAAGTGCATTTATTTAATTCTGTTAAAATTTCGAGAACACACAGCATGTAACATAAAGGTAACACTGTGATCACCATCTCAAGCTCAATGTCCAACTGCTTTGACGGGCCAAACACTGGTGGTTTTGCTAGGAAAAAGCAAAACATGAAAAACATGGTTATCACCATTTGCTCGGACTATTTACTTAGATCTAAAGTTCTAAGGTGAATTCTACAAATCATGCAGCCACAACACAGGGAACTGCAGGACCTTACTCTGATCAGGTCTCATTTGGCCCCTAGGGCGCCGAATGGGGGTCCCAGAAACAACCACAGATGAAGCTCTTCCATGGTAGCCCACTGGAAGCCTCAACCTGAAAAGACATAATGCTCAGCTTGTTTCAGGGACCATAGTGCAGAAATGTCCTCCAGTTTTGGTAGACACATTTGAATGGACAGGCAACTGGCCAAGTACAAATATTGTGCTTGATGTATGTGTCATAAGAGAATTCATGAGTGAGAAGAAAAGTCTGACCATACAGACATGCCGTCTTTAAGCACGTTTCAGGATTCTGAAACGGCATTTGATTAACGCAGTAAAGAGCTGTTGGTGTTTGTAGTGTACCAGTTTGGCATCAGAGCATTCTCTTTTCCTCTGAACATGATGCCAACATTAGTGGCGTGGTCTCTGGACGAATAGAAATCGGTGTAATCACCTGTGAGAGACGGAGGACAGTTTACAACAGCAACATGCACTTTTTTGCTGCACCCAACACACTGCTAACTTCTCACAAACAACAGATGTTGGTGCTAAGTTCTCCCTTGTGCTTAATTGTTTAGTTTTGTGAATGCTGTTCCCTTGATTATCACTGGATAATAAATATGACCATTCCTAGGAGACAATAAGGCTCAGATGTACATGGATGTCTCTATGATTGGTGATCTCTGTGTTCTTCTGGTGTCATCCATCTGAGGGAGGCAGGTTATAGACATGTGTTTTTTTGTTGTAGATTTTGTTTCAGTGCAGTATTAACAACTTTTATTAACTTTTTGAGAGCGCATGAAAATTTTTAGGGATATACTCATGTATTTAAATCTTAACCATACTGAATTATCAAATTGTTACAGGAAAACTATCTGAAGGATGAGAACAAAACTGGAATGAGGAGAGATGAGTGAAAATGTTTGTTAAGCCAGTAAGACATGGATATCTAATAATGTGGACCTCTTTGTGATGACACAACCCTTGAGATTCAATCACAGCTGACTCAGAAACATGCATCATTCAGCAGTCGCATGATAAATTTGTTCTGTATTCACAGGAGGTTAGATATGTGATGAATCCATTTGATCAAACAATGTAAATGATAAAAGGTTCACCAATGTCTGCGGGAAGGTGCATGGTGGCTGCACTTTGATGCACAAATGCCCTGTAGAAAAAAAGACAGACCACAATGAGAGACATGTTGTCTAATAACAGGACTGACACTGTTAGCTTTTTGGAGATTAAACAGACAAAGCTGGAACCCATCATTTTCCCCAACACTTCCATTGAAATTAAGTAATTTCTTAGCTAACACTGATGTATCCATTAATAATTCCGGTCTAGCTGAATTTGTAAAAAGTAATCACATTAAAGGAACAGTACAATAATAATGCCTGACCTCTTAATTCTCACCTATATACTTGATAAATAGATAGATATCATGTTCGGCACAGTCAGAAGTTTGCACCTATCACAGCAGCACATTAGAACCATATAGGACTGAAACGTTTGATGACTTGAGCTCTGCCTGTTGTGTCACATTTTCCAAATGTGAAGAACAAATAAGAATCTGCATCTTATGAAAAGATAGGGCTTATGGTATGTTTGATTTCTCCTTCAAATCACAAGGAAAAGTAAATAAGAGGTCACCTGACATGATAATGTTCTGATTTTGTTGCCGCCTGTTTTGTATAAATCACTTTTTAAAAATCCTTCTTCACTTCAATAACAACAACAATATTCGTGTTAAAGATGTGCAGACTAGGGCCGCAGCTGTAGCCTAATGGCTAGAGCGGGCGGACCATATGCAGAGCCTCTGCTCACAAGCGGGCGGCCTGGGTTCGAATCCAGCCCATGGCCCTTTCCCGCAGGTCTCCCCCTCTCTATCTCTGCCCCCTTTCCTGTCAAGCTACTGTCATTAAAGGCCACTAGAGCCAAAAAAAAAAAAAAATGATGTGCAGACTGACCTGCTGCGAAGGCTAATGTCATCTCTCAGCGTGCTCTCATTGGCTGACAACAGCATCTGTAAGGTCCTCCGGGCCTCCTTCCACGCCTCATAACCAAGGGCCATGAAAGCGTTCAGTGTAGGCTTTCAGCAAGACATAGAATACAAAAATAAATCAAATGAATTATGTTTATGTTCATTAAATTAAAAATACATTTCTACAGCAAAATCTGGACCTAACCCAAATTACATTACAACTCACAAAAAGAGATAACTGTTGTGAACATTGAAAATATTTTTCAGTTCAACAAAGCCTCAAACAGAACAAACTCACACCATGTACGATAGAAGTAGAATGTTTCACATCTCAGTTGGCACTTTTTTCCTCTTAGCTGCTTAAAAAAGTATTTTCTGCCGTCAGTCCTGCATATCTGTATGACTTTAATTTGACTGTAGGAGTGAGTGTGCATGGTTGTGTCTTTGTAATGGAGTGGAGATGTGTACTGGGCATAACCCCTAAATTGGACTCCAAAGGGATAGAAAATGGATTGATGTACATGGATTGATGTCCACCATTTACATAATCTATTTTGAAAACCCTTTCAAGTAACTACAGAAAAAATGGTTCATGCTGTGATAAATGTATGATTTCATTATTATTATTTTTTCTTTAGTTGCTGTTTTTTATTAAAGTTTACGAAGGTTACTTTCATGGAATTTATTTAAATGTTAGGAAAATCCATACAATTGACACAGTTGGTAAGATCATCAGATAGTAGTACGAAAGTATCAGGATACAGTGTAAAGAAAGACAATTTGTTACTTGTTTTCAATTAGGCCGATCGCTGGTAAGTGTGAGATGTTTTTGTGAAGATACTGAGTGGAAGGTACATCCATTCCATACAGGCCCTATTTAATAACTATCATATTAGAATTTATGACTGAATGAGTATAAGCTGAAATAAAAGTTTAAAGTCTGTGATGCAGGTTAAAGAACACAGGAAGTTTTTTTTCTAATTCAAGTTCACACACACACACATTCTCAACAGGACATCTGCTCAGATAAAAAACAGATCAACAGGTGTATCTTTAATAGAGAGCAAACGTCAGGGTCATCTGTAGATCCATCTTATTTATAAGATAAAGTACAGTAGATGCCAGCCTTACACTTGAATTTAAGAGCACTGATGGCATAGCCAACAAAACTGAGAAAACAGAGGAATAAAAGGACTTGTATTTTAAATTTCCTAATCCCAAAAGGTCTCACTAATTTTGTGGTGTGATTGTTGATTTGATGTTGTAGGTTTGAAATTTTATACTTGTGGGCATGAAATGATCATCATGAGAGATTAGAAGAAAAATCAGTCATACTTAAATAGAAAATCTGTCGGAAATCATGTCTGAATGTTTGACCGTCAATATTTACAAACATGCTAGGCCGATAAGGGATGCTGAAACTGACCTGTTCAAAGACATCCTGATGTTTGACGAGCACAGATCCAGTGAACAAATACTTGATCACACTGAGGTCCAATATTTGGTCTCCAATGGCAACACAAATACGGTGTTTGGGCTGGGAAAACACATAAACAAGTAAATGCTTTCAACTTTAACTTCTAAGCAAATATTCTTACACATCCTTTCTTTTTCATAATGCATGTTAAGCTGGCTGAAGCAGAGACACCTCTCAAGAAGCTTTGCCTTTGGACCCATATTTTCCTGCTTTTGTGTGGTTCTCCCTGAGAGGCTGTTATGTTTATTGATGTTACAGTCCCTAATGCCAAGCAAACACAGACACAGACATAAATCTTCAACTCTTTGGACTTCTGTGCCTCAACTTTTTCTCAGGCTGTCACTCTGGTTTTGAAAGACAAAAAACACCACTTACATTTTCAGAGGTGGAGAAAACTCCATAAGGAAGGTTCTGGTAGGAGAAATCACAATTTGCATCTACTTTTATGAAAGACATCTTCTTTTTGTCTGCGGTGTTCCACTCAACTTCCCTGAGTGTCCAAAAGAGCAAGCAAAGTTAAGGGCCTACAGATGTTTAACTTTGGGCAGGCCCACCTCCCGAAACACAGCCAATCACAAGCTGCCAACAGAATCCACCCTGCTCTAGACCTCTGTGAGTTAATGTAAAACAGCTGCAAAAATGACTCAGCAGAAATCAGAGATCCTCTTCATGTGATGGAAGGAAAAAAGAAACAGATGGTGAGAACTGTCTGACATGAAGTGAAGAGAAAGGCTGAAGAATAGGGAGAATTAGTAAAAGTGTTTTTTTTGTTTATAAAAGATAAATATTTGACTTTTTGGAAGCAAGTAAAGTCTGAAGAAAAACTAAACAAATGCAAAGCAGCAGCAAGAAGACCTGCCTCTGTATCAAGATGTTTAACAAACGCATCATAAAAAGATCCTGAAACATTTCAAGAAATAAAAAGATTCTAATGATTTTCTTTCCATTTCTGCTGCATGGCATTGAGGTAGAATGTAACATCTCTCTCCTTTTCATCACAATTTGTAGATTTTGTTAGAAAAAAATCGACAGAGTAAAAGACAGATCTGATGATCCTTCTTATGTGAGAGTAGCCACAGACATCCCACAGAGTGTATAATACATTTCAACAACAAACTCACATGTTCTCTTCATGATGTGTTTAACAGCGCCCCCATAACTGTTTCTTGTTGAAAACATGATATTGCACTCTGTTGTCTGTGGGGAAGCCAAACTGAGTTTGATGAAAAAAAAAAAAAGATGACCAATCAGGTGAGGCAATTGCCACGACACTACATCCTTGTGATTGGTCAGGACAGTGTCAAGTGAAGCAGAAAACTCTTTGGCATCAGGCCAATCACATCACACTATGGTATCGTCTATGACATTTGTGTAGATAGCTGACTTGCTTAAACTAACAAAATTATTAAGTGTGATTATGGAGGGTGGAGATTTGGATTATTTAGTATAAAATACATTTACTTAACTGCTTCTACGGCAGTAACTCCAAATTAAATCCAATGGCAGACCAATGCCATAACTAGAGCTCTGTACTGAAAGGAACAAAAGAATTCAATGAAGAGAATAAATCTGTATTTAGTGGCTAGCTGGTCTTCAGCGGCTATATTGTTGGTCCCATCTAGCTTGTAGTGCTAATCTTTAGCGGCTATGTTTCTGGTCCTGTCTCCTTTTTGATAAGGATTCCTCCTGCCTGAACAATTCCTGGGTTACCACAGGATTTGAAAGGAACTCGAGCAATTGAAGGACACACCAAATAAAAAAATCACATAAACTGTGCTGTGAAAATGAAGCTGTTTTGATGCATCAGGATTGATAAAGCTCTGTACCTGGCAAAAAGTCTGAACAAAGAAGCAAAACGACCAAGTGAAGAAAAACAGGATGTTTCGAAGAGGTTCATAGTTACTACCCTGTACATTGCCTTCCAAAAGCAAGCATTCAGGGGGCACAATGAGGCCCTGGTAGCACAAACTGGGGCACTTTTGTAGAGCTGGTGCATGCTTTTGCAGAAATTGCAGAGCACTTGGAATCCTCAACAGCCTTAAATGGTATGTCAAATACCATACAAAAAGACACCATCAAAGGCATCGCCAAAATTATACAGGATGAGACTGATAAAGGAAATACGCGACTCCCCTTTCTCTGCCGTACAAGTGGATGACACATCAGACATATCTAACAAGTGCCAACCCACTGTCATAATTACAGTAGATATGTCAATGAGAGTGTTTTCAAGGCTTTTATGATGTCAGCGCAGAAAGAGATGCAACATAACATCAGTTGTGATGACAGCCATCTGAAATTAAAGCCCCACAGACAAACTTGTCTCTCAGACTTATGATGGTGCAAGCTGTATGAGTGGACTGCACGGCGGCGTGCAGGCTTTAGTGAAGACGCACTCCCGAATGCCTTATTCATCCACTTATGTGCCCACAAGCTAAATTTGGTTTTAGCGCAAGACACAGATAATATTCAACTATCCAAACTTTTTTTTTCCTGGGCTTGATGCCTTTCACAGCTTTTTCTCAAGAATATGTAAAAGATCCGCTTTGTTGTGTGTGTTAGACAGGGTTGTGCATGTACTAGGAGGTTCTGTAGAGAGGCGGACCTTCAAAAGCCGTGTGGTACATGCCATCGCATATCACTCTGTTTGGCTTTTGAAAGGATCATGACAGAACCAGGATGGGACAAGGACAGTATTGCACAAAGTGCAGCCTTGAAACAAAAACTTGAGGATTATTCCTGCTCGGGAAGCAAGTAAATACAGAAATCTCTTTTCAAAATCAGTGTTTGTAGTACAGAATTAGAATTTTAACGTGGTCTCTACTTTCACCTCAAGTCCATAAAACAAACATCATAGTGGAAAAAAGCTCAACTTCAAGTTGAAATCAGCTTGATCATTGCTCCTGCAACTTCATTTTTGGGTAATTGTAATACAAAATACATCGGTGTGTTCCTGCTTTCTGTTAACTTTCTTTTTTATTTCTGTGTTTCACATGAAGATAAGTGTTGTTGCTTCACCAAAGACCTTGCTGGAGAATGTTGGCATTAATCCCACTACTTCTCACACATTAAGCGAACACTCTGCTATTAGAGCTAATTCCCATTGAAAAACAAAAGTCACCCTGTAAATATTTTTTTCGTACATTTTGAATCTTCTACTTGAAATGCTGACTTGCTGTAGAGCCCCTCTAGATAAACACTTTGAAAACATCCAGAGCAGAAATTAGGAATGATCTGCAGCTTCCATTATTCCTCTATGTTTGTTTGTGCAGGTGAGGACTCCAATATTTGGCTAAATGTTCCATATTACACTGAATGTTTCCTCTGGAGTAGAAAGTCTTTTCAGATGTTTCAGGATTTCCTAGCGACGTTGCATGCATGTTGGGTCCAGGAGTCTCTGTTCCACAGTTGGCCTTAAATGCACCTTACTGTTTCCCTCATCATTGTCTACTTTCTGTTTCTTTGTAATAGAAAATACAGCATTTGCTGCTGAAGCTGTAAATGATCCCACAGCATAGGTATCAGAGTGACACAGAGGGAGCTGGGTCCATAACCAAGAAGTTGATGGATCAAAATCATTATCTGCTAGCTGTTTAGCAGCTCCACTTAAGCTCTACTTAATGCATCATGAGGCTCACTTTAACATGCCACTTTGTTTGTATTTAGACGGGCTCCTGTCTTTTTGGTGTTAGCGGCTAGCTCAGCTGTTAGCATTCATGTCAGCTCTTCATGAACATCTAAATAACAACACATGGGCTATGGGTCGCTCAGAAAAAAAGTGTTGAAATGTGTTTATTGTAAAGAGCACGGCCAATGGGGGTAAACCATATTCACAGCTCTACTTATGGAGTGTACTCGGGATTTTCCAAACTAAGATGATTTTCCAACCTAACTAATGCAGTGGTTTATGAGAAGGAAACCCGGGCTACATTCCTTTGAGATTTAAAACAGTTTTAATGCACTAAAAATCTCTGAAACTGCAGCTCCTGAGACAAAGTGTGAAGTGTCACTAACATGAACAGAAACACAGAAAATCAACGTGTCCACAGCAGCTTATCTTCTTGGGATGTACTGTCATGTCTTGAAATACTCATGAAAGGTTGTGGGTAACGAGGGTTTGTAGCCTGCTAGAGGCTGCTTGGAATAGAGGGGATGCTTTGGAAATTGATGAGTTGTGTAAAACCAGCTGAGAATGGCAGATGAGGCTCCATTCTGGATATGTAGTGGAATTGTGTGTGTTTCTGTGCACATCCACAATGGCAGGAAGGAGATAAAAGCAGATCAAAAGTCAAAACAAGGACAGCTGGACAGGGTGCTCTGAAACTGAAGTTGAATGTTCTCACATGTTGATCTGATGATGGCTCTAAAGCACTCAATCAATCTATTAGACATTGTTAGAAGTTTTTAGGCTGACCAACCTGGTGGATCAACTTTAACATTTCAAACTGCAGTAAAGGTTCAAACATTCTGAAAGCGTTCATGTTAAAGGAAAAATGAGAACACGTAGCTTACAGAACATGTGGTATCACACAGGAAAATAGAAAATTCATTTTAACCTGCTGCCGATATATCTGCATCTTTTCATAAAACACAGAGAACTTTATATAAATTCAGCTAAATTCCCAAATAAAGCTGCTCATATTCCCATCATTTCTGCTTCATAATTCTAAATGTCATCATTTAGAAGGAAAAGTCAGTTTTCATCCCTTTCTGACCTCAGAGTAAGTTTGGACTTTCCAGTCCAGCAGAAAGACAGTTCACTCCTGAGTCCTCCAGCTTGTTGTTACACCGGACCAGATGTGTCAGACTGGAGGACTGGGAGCTGAGAACACAGGACAGAGCTTCACAGTTTCTCTCTGAGAGGTTACAGCCACTGCGTCTGAGAAGAGAGAAAATAAATAGATTAGATCATCAATCATTCAAACAGATTTAGTATATTTTTTATGTGGGCATGAAACTTTTTTTTTTAAATTACAGAATTAAGGGCGGCACAGTGGTTTTGTGGTTAGCACCATGGAGTTTGCATGTTCTCTGTGTCTGCGTGGGTTCTGAAAATCCACTGGTTTACACAGTGCAGCATGGAAATGACGGAACAGAAGAAATAGAAAAGAACATGTCCAGAGCATAAAGCTGTGTTTGTTGCTGCTGGGCAGACTGAGCACTGCTAGTCCACTCTGTGGAGGAATTGTGGAGAATAAGCTCACACTCTGTATGTCCACACAGACAAAATCAAGCTAGTGACCCTGCTGTTCCCACTTAGACCTACAGCTTTTTCCTTTAAATCTAACTCTGTGTTCTCCATCCAGCAGCAGCTGACAGCTCCTAGCTCCACTGTGCTAGAGCCAAAGCACAAAGGAGACACCTGCTGGACCAGCTGCTGTCCTGCACACACTCACAAAGGCATCCTCCAACATCCATTCTATCCCTTTGACAACAGAGTTTAAGGAAAACATTCAACACACAATGCTTCATTAGGACGACACAAATGATGGAAATAGAGCTGAGCTCAAATCAAACACATGTTGGAATTAAAACTGTTATAGCCCGTACACACAACTCACCTCTGGTCTGAGGTCAGTAGAGGGCTGGAGGTCCATGCAGCTGTCAGCTGTACTGAACAAAACCCAGTTGGCACCAAGGCAAAGATCCTGTTTCCTGTAAACATACAGCCTTTTCAGGGTGAAGCTGTGAGAACAGAATGATAACTTTTCAGCAAAGTCTTGTGCATGGTGCTGAAAGCCTCTGCAGGCGTGTGAGCTTCTAGCTCCAACATGTTAACATGTGAGCTGACAGGAAGCTGCTCTGAACAGGACTGAAGTCCCTGCAGCACTTTCTACTGGATGCTGCTAACTATTGACAGCTAAGGAAGAAACACTCCTTTATTTCCTCTGTTTCTGCTTCTATCTGCAGCTGGAGGCCACAGTGAAGACAACGATGACAGCTGAGAGGAAGACCATTGCTCTAATGATCCACAAAGGATGAATCAGCAGCAGCTTCTGTGTGGAGAGACTGTGATGATGATGAAGTCTGTTATTATTCTGTGTTTTTGCCTCTCTGGGATAATAATGTTAAAGTTGGTCATTAATTAATGAAAAAAATCCCTAAATCTTCAGTTTTATCTGACTCGATGTATGCTATGTTGTTTTCTGTATTCTGTATTCTGTATTCTTTATTCCATCTTGAAATCCATCCTTGGCTTCCCACAGTCTGCAGTGAGACGTACTTGGGCATGACAGGCACCAGTAACCCTGTGACCGCAGCTCCGGAAAGCCGCCTCAACAATGGAAGCGCAGAACATGGCCCACTCGGACTCAATGTCCAACACCTCCCTCAGAACGTGATCAGAGCTCCCCCGGAGGTGGGAGTCAAAGCTCCGCCTAACGGGATACTCCCACCAGACCCTCACAATGCATATGGGCCTGCCTGGCCTCACCGGCATCCTCCCCCAACATCGGAGGCAACTCACCACCAGGTAGTGGTCAGTCGAAAGCTCCGCCCCCCTTTTCACCTGAGTGTCCAAGACACTGCGGCCGCAAATCAAATGAAACAACAATCATTGAGCTGCGGCTTAGGGTGTCCTGGTGGCAAAAGCACATATGGACACCCTTATGCCTGAACATCATGTTCGTTATGAACAATCTGTGCCAAACACAGAAATCCTATAACAAAACATCACTCAGGCTCAAGCTGGGGGGGGGGCATTCCTCCCAACAACATACCTCCAGGTTTCACTGTTGTTTCCCACATGAGTACTGAAGTCCCCCAGTAGAACAAAGGAGTCCCCAGTAGGGGAACTGTCCAGCACAGCCACTAAGGACTCTAAAAAGGCTGGTAATCTGCACTGTTGTTGGGGGCATAAGTACAAACAACAGTCAGGACCCGTCCTCCCAATGGAAGGCGAAGGGAGGCTACCCTCTCATTCACTCAGGTGAACCCCAATGTAAAAGCGCCAAGATGGGAGGCAACAAGTATTCCCACTCCCGCTCGGCGCCTCTCACCAAGGCCAACTCCAGAATAGAAGAGGGTCCAACCCCTCTTGAAAAGACTGGTTCCAGAATCAGAGTTGTGCGTAGAGGCAAGACCGACTAGGCAAGACCGATCTAGTTGGAAGCTCTCTGCCTCACACACCAACTTGTGACTTCACACCCAAATTTACCTTTAGTTATTTCATCTCACCACAGCTACGGATCGAGCGCATCAGTTTCTCTCCTTTAGACTCTGAAGAACAGAGGAAGTTGCAGTCCCTGCGTCCAGTAAATTCCCTGAGTGCCTACATTAACTGTACACACAGTGCGAGCTTATGTGACCGTTTGTGTGTTTTGCCAATCCAGACATGATGTCTCATGGGATTGTGGAGGTTATTTCTCTAGTTCACAGGGGTGTTGAACATTTGCCCACCAGTGGGCATGTTGGTGGTTTGATCCCAGGCTTCAGGGAAAGGTGTCTTTATTTAACACTCAGTTGCCAGAAATGCAGCATCAAATCTGGCTCAATGGTCTTTGTCCTGCTTGTCCTGGTCCCAATTTCAGATAAGATATGTGGGTTGTGTTAAAAACCTACCACGAGAGTAAGGGCTGATGCACTGGGGTGACACCTAATGACAGGGGTCGGCTACTCCAGGCCTCGAGGGTCGCTGTCCTGCAGGTTTTAGAAGTTTCCCTGCTTTATACACACCTGATTGAGATGAAGCTGATGTCTTATTAAGATGGTTCAGCTCTGCACAGGACCGTTGATGTTGTGTTAATGATAATCATGTGTGTAGAAGCAGGGACACCTGCATTGGCCCTCGAGGCACGGAGTTGCCCACTCCTGCCTAATGGAAAGAGTTGAAAGGGTCAAGGGTCTCCCTCACCCTCACAGTGTCATTCAACAAGGGGAGAAGAACAAAATACAACACTGGCTCGCTTGGATTGGGTTGTGCTTCTGCTGGAATGGTTGGAGATGTCTTTGCAATATCGCAACAACCATGACGTGTATATTGTCATGTTGTCATGTAAGTGTAACAAAAACACACAAGTAAAAAGATATCTGGTGAGACCTTTTAGAAAAATTGCCAGCTCACATTTTCCTCAATCCTATATTGAAAGTCTGAATAATGCAATAGTGACTACACTGACTATTGAGAAAATCATAATTTTAAAACACTGTACTCTTGTCAGGGAGGTTTATTACAATGCTGTGACTACAACTATTTTTGGCCCCAAACCCTGGATGCACAATCAATGTGGTCAGATTAATTGTGCATTCAGATGAGGTCACACTGTTTTAACAATTATTGTAATTATAAATAACACTAACCCTGAAACATTATTTTTACTTTGTTTAAAAACAACCACATTTGTTTTACTGTAGACTCAATTTGGGTGGTTATTCATTGTCAGTATTTAGCAGTTTGTTTGTATAAGATTGTTTAAGAAAAGTCCAATAAGATAAAGTGATAGAGCACTGCACAGACTTGGACACAGAGATCGGGTGTAGTAGATTTTTATCCTGGAATATTTAAATATCCAAATATGGGCTCTAAGCATAATCAGTTAGATGCAGACATGCCACCAGAATTTTTTGAAAAATTAAAGATTTATTTTCATGAAGGCATGAATTACAGACTCTGTAGCGGCACTGATGGAATCCACATACACAGTTTAAGCTTCACTAACATGAAGTACTCATCACCACAAGCAAACAGCACTTAACAGTCAAAAAAGGAATATGTACTAGTCAATCAAATACAGTTTGCAGACTTTCCACTTTAAGTGTTTTAAATGCAGATAAATAATTTAGGCAAATAAATAGCTTCCCAACACACAGGAAATAAAAAAAAATGGACTGCATATATAAAAATAGAAAAGGTATAACAACTTTGGTCTTTGTTTCTATAGCTAAGTAAAATATTATTTTTGTTGTTGAACATGCTTTGAAGGGAGAAATGTATGCTAGTTAACAGAAACAGTTCAGACATAACAGAAGGCCTCAAAATGATAAGACTTGTGCTAGAGTCGTTGATTAACTTTGACACAATTTCCCTTTCCTTCATTTTATGTTTTGACTGATTCAAAAACAAAAAAAACAACAACAAAAAAGCAAGGGTGCCCGCATCTGCTCCCTTGTTCCACTGCTAAACCTAAAGTAAGGTAAATATAGACCTTAATGATAAACAGCTTATCACATATTACAGCATGTCATTATCAAACAAAAACTGAGCCAAAACACAGAAGCAATGAGTTAATAAACTAAGACCAAGCTTGCTTCGTCCAGAGGAATTCAGAGGGGCTGAGGATCGATCCTCAGATTAATAATCCTCAGTAAGTGTGAGCAGCTCCCCCTAACAATTAGAAAAAGACTGAACAAGTATGGCTTGCTTGGGAGGGCTGCAGGAGAAAGCTTTTTCTCTCTAGAAACACACAGCTTCTGTTTGCAGAACTGCATCTGAAGAAGGCACAAGACTTGTAAAACTTCTTTGCAGACCAAAGCGAAGAGGTTTGGCCAGAAGGCACAGAAAACCTGACACGGCATTTCAGCACAAACACCTCTAGCAACTGTCAGCATGGAGGGAGAGGGGTGATGATCGGGGCTGGTTGTACAGCCACAGGACCTGGGAACCCCAATACATTCATCTGGATACCAAGGCATTCCACAGTCGAATGTGAGGCCCAAAAGATGTAGCTATAACAGGCAGGGCAGCAAATCTATGACAGCGTGACTGAATAAGAAAAGAGCCAAAGTGCTGCTATGGTCCTGTCAAAGCTTAGACCCCAGCTGCTGTTTAATGTGGTTCGACGACCTGCTGAGTCCTGGGTGGATTTGTTTTTCACCAACGGCCTCAGCGTTTTGTCTCAGTTTTCGTTTGATAAATAATTACACACTGAAAAATATGCCATGGAATGATCTTCTGCTGTTTTATTTACCTTACTTTAAGCCCTGGCAAGGAAGGAACACATTGTCTTTTTTTTGTTGTTGTTGTCATTAATTTATACATTAATGTTTAAAGAAGATGTACTTTATTGTTCACATTTTGGTTTGTTTACAAAAAGCTTTGGCATGAAAATGAACAAAATGATGGAATTTGTTCTGAATTAATGGTTACAGTCCATAATAACCTAATCTCATCCCAGTCAGTAAGAAAACATCTATATCTACATGCATTTTCAACCGTCCTGACAGGCATAATAGTTTGATTGAGTACGGGATAATGACAATGTAATATCCAAAAGCGTGTTTATCCGATGTTGGCTTAGCTCACAAACCATCAATGAATTTAATTACACACCCAGGGGCATTTCATGAAACCAGGCAACCGCTGTTGCACTCAGACAACAATCCAAATATAATCAATCATTAATATGACATTATTAGATACTACTCACAAACAAAATAAGGTTTATCGGATCTCAGATGATCACAGATATAATAGACAACCATCTGTGTGCAGCTGGTCCTCTGCCTGAAACAGAGTTCAAGAGAGACCAGTTTGAAGCATGAACAGGCTTTTTATTAATAAGAAGTAGAAACCCTCTTGCATATTAATAAAGTTTAGAGTTAAAAAAACTAAGAGTTTTGTCATTACTTCTTTAAATGCAGATTTTTCTCCCTACCTGCTATCTGTTTTTAGAAAGCTGAGAGTGGATTGGTGGAGAGGATCTGTGACCTGATGGTTAATGTGCAACATTACTTAAAAAGTTCATAATATTATGCATTACCTACCACAGCAACAGGACAAACTATTTACTAAAATAAAATCGATTGTCTTAACACATGAGAGAAAAACAAAAGGAAAAAAAGGTCTGGGGATTGTTTAATGACCAGAAGAGGCAATTCATCAGCCCTATGATGGACAGACACTTTCTGAGAAGACTAATCTTATCTATACTCCACTTACCATAACATCCTGCTCAACTAAGTTAGGAGTGATTTACCACCCTCAGTAGGGCTTGCTGTCATTCTTTGAGCGCTTCAGTTGTACCTTCAGCCTTTTCATACCAATCTGGAAGCCATTCATTGACTGGATTGCTGCCTGTGATGAAACTGGGTTGTCATAGCTCACAAATCCTGGGGATATAAAAGGTGGAGATAGTTTAATCTCTAGAGAAATTGGCTCTTTCAGGACAATGACAATAACTGATACCCAAACTCAAAACATACTAAGTCCTCTATAGAGAGCGATTCAGTTGAAAAAGAAACACTTTAGTATGACCCTCTCCCAAAATATAAAATACCAACCTATAGTTCAAGAATAATTTAATAAACATTTAAGTACTACATAACAACCAAAACAATTCTTTCACTTCAATCTGAGGCCCGGCTGGGACAAAATGTACACTCTGACAAAAGGTCATTTTAGGCCATCTCACCTTTTGTACCTATGTTTTTTTTTTTGTTGAGTCATGCCTCCTGCTATTAGTTTGTTTTTTTGGATTTCTTCCGCCCTGTCCTTAAGTTTGTACTTGTTCTTTCTCTTATGTTGTTAGGTCGTTCCCTGGTCTTTGGTTCTAGTTTCAGTAACCTCACTCAGTTTTCTTTGTTTCTATTTCCTGTATTTCATGTTATTGTGTCTCCCCTTAGTTTTCTGCCCACTCTTTCCAAGTCATTGTGAGCTTCTCTTCTTATTTTCCATCCTAAATATTTGTAATTTTAGAATTACTCTCCTTTGCGTTTAAGCCTTCGTCTACCATCAGTCTTTGTCAGATCCTTGTGCATTTTTCCATCTCTTGTCAGTTTACATCATCTTGGACTAATTCATTAATTAGTCAATTATGGTTCGTCTCCCTTAAAATCTCACTTCTGAAACCCCTAATGCTCCGATTTCCTTTTGGCTCCTCATCCTTAGTTCCCCAGTTCTTTAGCTCTCATTCTCCTCTGGTTCTCTGGTTTTGTTCTCTTAGTGATAGCACTTGTTACTTAAACCAAGGCTATAACAGAAGTAAGAGGACTCTGGGCATTGCTATTAGGATAATTCATTCAATTATCACATTTAATGTGAATAATACGCTGGAAGACTAGCTTTGGGTTTTATCAGTGAGTACCCCAGGCATTTTGAAGCACTGATTCACTTCTAATGTAAATGTTCACATCAATTAAAAGTACTGATGAGGCTAATTTCCAAGTGTTTATAATGTTACTTGTATGTCTTTCTACCTTTAAATGTAGACACTAACAAAAACACAGTACTGAATTAAAATTCCCAGGTTGAAAATATCAAAGCAGGCTCCTTTAGTTAGGGTGTACTGGGGAATAATTACTAATATTTTAATAGCTGAAAACAACTTAAGCTCTTGGTTAGTGTGGGTTATATTTTATATGGTTTGGCTATTTGGCCCAATGAGATATTTTTGACTGAATACAAACTAATGCATATGGATGGGGGTTTATGATGTTTATTCGTAAGGGGGTGTCTTATTGGATTGTGAAGGTTATTCCTCTAGCGTACAGAAGCAGAGGTCTGGGGAGGTTGCCTGCCAATGGCTGGTGGTTTTTATCTCAGACTATATGTCAAAGTGTCTTTGGGCAAGGCATTGAACTTCCAGTTGCCTGCAGCTCAGCCTCAGTGTTCTGTTTCCTGTTTGTGCCAGTCCAAAGGCACTGAAAATGTGAGGGTTGTGTAGGAAGAGCATCTGTCCTAAACACTCCTGCCGAACCTAGCATGCAAATCAAAGCCACAACATAATTCACCATCCAATGTCTATTATCTGTATAAACTTACCAAAACACTTGCTGAGGTTTGTTTGTTTGTCAATGAAGACCTTTGCAGAGATCACATTTCCAAAGGGCAGAAACATCTGCAGCAGGTCCTGGTCTCCAAACTCCTGCGGCAGGTGATAGATGAACAAGTTTGCACCCTCTGGACCTGACAATCAATGAGTGTGTTTTACTAATTAAACATACTTCTCACATTTCCACTGATACATTAAAAACCAAGACATTTAATAATTAACCATACTGTACAATTTTGTTTGTTGTGTCAAAAGTCGTCCTCTATATCTCAGTAAGAAATTGAGGCGATTTTTATTGGAGATTTGTTTCAGCATGCATCACCATAGACACACATGTATACGGTGTAGATAATAACATTTGGAATTTTATTATTCCTTTGGAAATGGGGTACAAGGCAGCCAAAGAGGTGTCATCACTATGTCAGAGGTTTCTGATTTCAGCAAAAGGTAGATGGAATGTGACGGTATCCATGATCTGCACGTTTTTCATGGGGAAGAGCATTTGGTTAGTCCCCGATTCCCAATGCCTTTTCACATTTCAGGCAAATCAGGGGGGTCCCACTCAAATATACAGTGGACTAAATTCTAAAACTTGGACAATAGTCCACATGGGCCAACATTGATATTTATCATAAACATGGACCCAAACGCTATGAAACAAAGCTAGATGTAACACATAATACTGAACACATGCAAAATCTTAAAGAAACAAAAACAAAACAAACAACACATCAATGGAAGTATTTTCTTAAATACAATTTAAAAAAAAAATAGAATTCCACAGGCTGATAATAATAATCACTCTTAAGATACATTTACTGTTACAAACCAATTGATTGATGATCAAGTCATTCAATGAGTGTCCAACTGTTTAAGCCTATGCTTTAAACTAGCAAGAAAAAGACAACTTTATTGAACATGAGCAGAGCATTGGTATTGGTAGTATAAGTGGTGTGTGTGCTGTATGATACCACTCTTGTGCAAAATTCTAGTCTAATATTTCTCTCACATTTTGGTTTATTTTTTCGACTCTTCATATACCATCACTGCTGTGAATTTGAAGGAGTTTGCTCCTTTCTTTCCAAAGTTACCTGGGGGAAACTATGTTACATCCATTATACATATGTTAGAACACAAGCAAAGTACATTAACTGACTCTGGTGCTTAAAAGCTATAAAGCTGTTTATTTAGAAATGGGTTTTATTTCACATTAGAAATGTGGTTTACAGCAACAAGAAAAGTGTGCATTTTTTCAGCTTTTTATATGTACAAACACCCCCAAATACCAATTAAAATAGGAAGATAAATATGGCTGTTGTATAAGACAGTGTTAATGTAACTTTTTTCAGGCCTCTTATTTAGCATTCTCTTTGTTAAGGCTTGTTAAAAGCTTGTTAAAAGCTTCCATGTCATTTGGAGCTACAAGCTAGTTTTGTGTTATGAAGCTTGATTAAACTCCGTGTGGTATCTTTTGTCCTCCTCATTACGATGACACATGTATGTTGTCATCTTTATTGCTAGACTAATTTGTGTAGCTGTGATTTTTATTAAAAACAAAAACATTTTAAAAAGTGTAAAAAACAAATGTTTATCATTTTTTGCAGGAAATATATCTCTTTAGTTGTAACTTTAGCAGGGCCAGCTCTAGCAACTATTTTGCTTTGCGTCGTGCACCAAATATAATTGCAATGCAGACGCTAGTTGGCCTGTGCACCAGAGTTTGACACCAGTGATGTAAAGGTTATTTGTATATATTTTATGTGATCAGATAGAAATGTGAAAATGTTGTCTATGGTGATTCAATGAGTACAGCACGCACTGTAAACGAACAATTTAAAGGAAAGAATTGAGTGGATGCAGCAACTTTTAGTTCTAAAGACCCACCTCCACAACTGACAGTGGACTGTAGAGTCCAGTACCAGGATATTAGCAATAGATTCTTCGAGTCCCACAGGATGAGTTCTGGGGTTGTGGGCGATTGGAATAGCCTCTCACTGACCGCATTATCTTTTTACCAAGCAATGGCTGCATGTACAACGCTAACACCTCTCCATTCAGCTTCAATCTGTTCATGATGATCTTTGAATATTTTAGTGCATCTCTCAGCTACACTTCAACTTTTTAAATTATCAGCTAATTAAAAAACAAATCTATTGTCTGTTATTGAATGGAATCAGATCCCACCAGACCGGCATCTGGAGTTTGGATACTGTGTGACAATTCGAACTATTTACCTTGGTTTTTGAGGTAAGAAGACTAGTGTGTAAAATGTTTAGGGAGGTGTAAAGTGTTGATGCAACACTCATATGAATGTCAGGATACAGCCAAAGATGAGCAGTGTTACTCACCTAACCAGTCCACACTTATATTGATCTTGGTTGATCAGTGGTGTTTTTTGGTCTGTTTGCAGACACACTACTAAATCTCATTTAAGATATTAGCAAATGTACAGGGGAAAACTTACTTCTAACTTTTAGTTTACTGCTTTTATCACCCAAGTACAGTTAGGTATGTATTTCTGTAACTATTAATGGTTCATTGGGTAGTTGATGGACTGATTTATGAATATTTAATACTTAAGGGGAAAGATTTAGCAGCTAATATGTAAGAATCAGCTTTGTCAAAAATAAAAAGAAGCCTTTGGAGCCTTCTTGTAATGGGATACTTAACAGTGCAAATCTAATTCAGGAATGAATTTTAGACTGGACTGAATCTGTCTTTTCACAGCTTTGTTTTTTATTTGAATTGTAGATTTTAGTGACATGAGTCATTCAAATTTATTCAAGTTTATTTTAAGTTTCTTACAGGAGAGAAAAAGATTTGTACTGAGAAAAAATGCTGCTAACAATAGCATGGCATGCTAATCCTTTACAATGTTTGAAAAAACGGGTGGCACGGTGGTGTGGTGGTTAGCACTGTTGCCTCCCAGCAAGAAGGTTCCGAATCCCGGGGGAACCGGGGCCTTTCTGGGTGGAGTTTGCATGTTCTCCCTGTGTCTGCGTGGGTTCTCTCCGGGTTCTCCGGCTTCCTCCCACCGTCCAAAAACCTGCATGTTAGGCTGATTGGAGATTGGGGAAATTGCCCTTAGGAGTGAATGTGAGTGTGAGTGGTTGTTTGTCCTTGTATGTCCTGTGTGTGGCCCTGTGATGGACTGGCGGACTGTCCAGGGTGTACCCTCGCCCGTTGACCACTGGGATAGGCTCCAGGTCCCCCCCGCGACCCCATCAGGGAATAAGCGGTATTGATAATGGATGGATGGATGTTTGAAAAAACATTGTAAGGGATTTAATAAAATTTGAGTTCTCTGGATTCATTGGATATCAGGTTTTACCTCAGGTCATTTGTGCTTTTTTTATTTGCTCATGGAAGAAAATAAAAAATCATCTTTATATTTTTTCTAAATCAAACCATTTCTTAGTTGATCGTGTCTTTTGATTTGGACTTACCTTCTTTCTGGCTGCCTGCAGCAGAGACATTTTGCTGGGACAACAGGCTTTGATTGTACAAGCTGGGGAGGGCTGCAGCAGCATACTGCTGGATTCCTGAGTAGGCCTGACTCAGTGCTTCCATGGTATTACCTGAGCCATTAGACAGACTGCTGGAGGCAAGGCTGCCATTTAGTGCTGCCATGCCTGTAAAATTAACAGGAAAGGATATGATATAAAAACCATTTTGATTTTGTTAAAAACTGCACAGAAGAAACTGGTCAGTCTCACTAACATGTCATAACAGGCGAGCAAAAGAATAATTCTAAAATGGTTGAAAATGGGCAATAACAACAGGTGTATTACCTCCTTTTTATTTTTTCATTATTTTAAAAATAACATCAAAACTTCACCGCCTAGCAGCAGAAGAGGGAAAAAGATTACCAAAGCAATCTCTGACAGTTCTGGAAAAATCAGAACACGAAAGAGCTAGCACTAAACTGGTTAGAAAAGCACACGGGAAACTTTTCAAAAGACAAAGGCTCAGATGAAATTATCAAATTATCTGGAACTGCAAACATAGACCTGGCAAGCCTAAGTAGCGTGGTGAGATAGGCTAGGTTAGATAAGTGTGTGCCAATGAGGCCACACCTACCTGGATGACTTAAGGGTCAAACTAATGACTGAAAAAATAAGTCAAAAGACAACACCAATGCATACTTCAAGACTCAAAGTATAAACATGGTAAGACATGCCTTCTAACCCAGTGTTCTAACATTCAGAAATGGAATCCTAGCGAAGGATGAGGTGTAACAAAGATGGGGAGGCAGGACAAAGGCCAGGGAAGATGCATCACCATTCCCATTAGTGACTACAGCAATCTCCCAGAAGAGGAACCAATGACAATCACAGTGGAAGACGTCCATACAAAGGTTTTAGGAGACATGATACATGTCTACTGTATAAAAACACTAACTAGACATCAGGTACTCAATATTGTAAGATGAGACCTCCAGATTTGTGCACAGCCTGGATTGACAACAATAAAGAATTCAATTCAGTGCTGCACATATGTCTACTGGAATGCTTGGGACTCCACAATATCAACAGGACACAAAGGAACCTACATCAAGAACTCAAATCAAGACTATGTAGAACAACACTGAAAGCCAATCCCAGGCCAACTGTAACATCATCTCAAGGATGTTTTCTGGTTCACAAGTAAAGCAGCCACCCTCTGCAAGGATGACCTCAAGCTGTAAACCACAATTGAGAAAAACCTCACCTCACTGATACAACTCACCAGGACAGACAGAACAGCATTGGAATAATGGGACTAGATATCCAGATCTAGCCAAATGTTATAAGAAAGAGTCCAAGCGATCACAACTGAAAGGGTTTAACAACAACAGATCTTCAGGACAACAACAAGACTTGCAACAGGAAAAAAGCAACCACAACGAGAATACAAGGGGCTTAGCCACCAAATGCCTACAAAATGTAAGGCAGGCCCTGAAGATTTAACTGAAAAGGATGAAGAACGCCTCTACCATCAATACATAGACCCTGTCAGTCAGGAACAGCATAATAATATAATATCAAAATGGCAAAATAATGGGATGCACCAGCCTGCGCAGATTGTGACGGAAGGTTCAGGTTTAGGTTATTACCTGCCAAAGAGCCCATGTTGATGCTGGCACTCGCAGCCAGAGATTGCAGGGCCCCTAAAGGTGCCATGGGGTTGATGGAGGAGTTACTGGTTGAGGTGGGAGGAGAACCTGCTTTGGGAACTCATGCAGTTATTATGAATAGTACAATAAATATAATTTCATCATATATATCGTTTGCAAAAGTACACTTCATCATGATCTTCACACTGAATGATAATAAAAAGGATAATCAGTTTAATGGTAGCAAATGCCGTTATTTTAATTATGATAAGGACACGCATACTTATAGTAAGACTGTGGTTTTCAATATTTTCTGTCAAGCCCCCCTTTGAAAGGTGACATTTTTTTCAGGTCAGCCCTCCCAACAATACTTTTAAAAATTGAGAAAAATTTTAACTTTCAAAGACGATAATTTTTTAAAAATCAAATCAATAAAATAAGGTAAAATGTGCTGTCACATTTTTCATGACAGTAATCGTACAGTTTTTGTGTGCTAAGACAAAAACTATTTTGGGATCAATTAATCTCCATTTGTGCTAACTAATATAATTCTATCACGGAATTATTCCCAATAAGCCTTTTTGCCTTCCAGGTTTCCCTTACAGAATATGGGAGGTAACCTTTCAAAACCACAGCAGGCATTTCAGTATTTCCGCATCAAACTCTTTCCATGTAGTTCAACCAATTAAAACCAGTAAGATATCAAATCATTCAGCTTGTTCAGCACAAGGGGCCATAACTTTTATTATTGATATCTTGTAAACTTTTTGACATGCTTATCTTTTTGAGAGTTTTTCATATCATTTAATTGAATGAAGAAGCCCTCAAAACCTTCAAAATATTTGAGCTCCTACAGCTCTAACTACCTCAGCATATTTTCAGCCAGAAACAGCATTCTTAAATGGGTCTCAATGCATGAGCTCATAGCTATTTACTTTTTCTCTTTTAAAAATTCAGGTTTTTGAACTTTCAAAATTTCAAAATCATTCAAATGTTTTGCTCCTTCAAAACTTTGCAATATAATCCCTATGGGCAGAAGTGAGAAAGAGGGATAGAAGTGGTCATGTAACACACTAGCTTTGATCCAGTTTCACTCTTCCACATCCTCCAACTCACATATACAAATTATACCTTAAAACATAGGTAAACTCTTTCAGCTAATTTAACTATAAAAGCAGTTAAATTGATTTAGAATCAATATCCTATATGGTACCCCATATAGGAAGTAGAATCTGTCTTTATTTTTCCATTTATAGTGAGAATAAATGGGCACGATCACCAAGAAAAAGGCAGGGTGGCAATGAGGGGGGATGAGGCCTTGCTCAACCGTTCTCTTTTTCAAACAAGTCAGGCTTCAATTAAGCTAATGCACACAACATGTGGACAGAAAGAGAAGGAAAGTACCCACAAGGACTACTTCAAACGTAGTTTTTTCCAGATTAGCTAGGGTATCCCTCTATCCAAAGCATACTACATAGTGAGTGTTTGAGGACCAGAGCTCCCATAATGCCTTTCCCTAGATAATACGTCTCTTCTTTTTTTTTTGCAGGTCAGCAGTGGTCTCCCTCTGTCCAAAGCATAGTATGCAGTGAGGGAAGAACTACACTTCCCATAAGGCCTAGTCCTATTTTTTTCAGAAGAGGACCTGCTGCCTCCATCTGTCCATTGGCATTACATGGCAAGGTATGGGGAGGTATATTCGTCATAATGCCTTGCCCTCACAACAGGGGCTCTAATTTTTTCACTTTACAGTGGAAATTAAGGTCTGTCACATATTTAGATGATTTTTGACATCCTTTTGCTGTTTTTCCCTTCAACTTTTTCTGCATCCTCAAACAATTGAACTGTTGTCCTCTGTATTCCAGCCATATTATTTCCAGTCACATTGTAATGTGTTCTTCAGCTATTTATTTTATAAATATTTATAAAAAGTTATAAAATAAATATTTTATAACTTTTTCAATTTTCTTCCACACCTTAAAGTAGATTTATTCATTAGATCAGCACTGTGTTCTATTGATTTCTTTAACCTTTCACCTTTTTCATGAAACGTTGTAGAGTTTAAAGAAGATATCATCCAAAAGACCAGAGGTCCTCGTAAACTTTTCTTGTTATTAAAATTCAGTTTGACTTGACAAGGAAACAATGCAGTACTTGGATTTTAGTTTACCTGAGCTCGTTAGTCCACTTAGCGGGCTACTAGAAGTCGTCATGGAGCTGGAACCTGTAGGTGGGCCCTGTGTGGCTGTTGCTGCTGCTGCTAAAGCAGCCAGGTTCTGCATGGTATTAAGACCTGATAGACACATGCACAGTGAAGTTCAAGACTCCTCCAACTCTTTTGTACCAACAACTGCTGTGATTAAAAACAGTTTAAATCGGCATCGTCTTTCCTTGCAGACTATACATATGAGGCTGGAATGAACCTCGGGATACAAACGGATGATTCCAAACCATAAAACATGACAAAGACCATGATGCAGCCAATTACTTAAATATTGTTTCTTTCCTTGTTCATCTAATCCGGTGTGTTGGCGTGCGTGTGTCTGTATGTGTGTGTACCTGAAACTTGGTGCAAATTGGTGAGTGCGTTCCCTGTGGATGTTGACTGCTGTAGTAACTGTAAGTAGAGCTAAAGACAACAGGGAAATAGGGGTGTTTAAGCGGAAAAATCTCTGGTCAATAGCTTTAGAATTACACTAAAAGCGCTTACTTACTGCTAGATACTGTGGCCCCAGACTGTTAAACCCAGTGAGATTTCCCCACATTGATGCAGCGCTGAGCTGCTGCATCTGCTGCTGCAGCTGTTGAGCCAGGCGCTTCTGCTCCTTGTCCTTCTGAGTGTCTGCGAACTTCACCACAATGGGTGATGAACAACCCTGAATGCAGGATAAAACACATTTCACTTAATCAGATCATCGGATCATGTAAGTACTTTCAAAAGTTCTGATGTCTTTGATGCTAATGAGCTCTTCAATCCCCCTGTTAAATAACTAAGGTAACATAGAATATCACCTCCATGGTCTGGGACTGGTGCATGGATTTTATGGCTGACTGGGCCATTTGTCGAGCTGTAAATGTTACAAATGCGCACCCTGAAAAAAAGAAACACAGTTAATCATATTACATTAGTGTTCCACCAGTTAACTATTCTAACGTGAAAGCTGACAGACCAATGGGTTCTGACCGACACTCTATTGAAATGTTTTTGTAACTGTGGTGACATGAATGTTGAATGGACTTTTTCTATATCTTGTTATATCGTTTCTTCAACATACACTCAATACACATAGGGCTTAGAGATATCCTTAGATTATTGTTATCAAGCTTTTTTTTTTTTATTGAGATTTTTTATTTTGTTCATATCATCCACCCTTAATGGTCCGTCAATTGCACATTGTAATTTTAACCAATTACAGTGTAAATCATATTGTGTCAAAGGCATCTGGTCAAACACTTGCCACAACCATCCACCTCCAGGTCCAGGTACCTGTTACTGCCATCCATGACCAGGCCCAAATACAGCAATACATCCTCAGGCCCAGGTACTTGCTACTGCTATTCTTCACCAGATTCTTCACCAATTTTACCTAACAATGTTTTATGTGGACTTATGTGCTAAGTTTTTACCAAGCTATTATACTCTAATAAATCCATTCATGACAATCTATCTTAATTAGCTATCTTTCCATAACAAAATCATCTTTAATTATAATTGTATATAGTGCAACAACATAATTTCCCTTTATGGTGTTAGAAGTAGTTCATATTTGGAGTTTTATATGATCACTGTATTCATATAAATTAATAACTATTCTCTGCACTCTTTTGCCTTTGATACATGTCTTCAGTGTAATCTTTATGAATTAGGAGCTGTCCTGTTGTCAGAGGTTACTGGCCAATAAAACTTGACTGCGTCATGTCCAGCCTTTAACTGAACGGGGCAGGCCCTGCCGGAGAAGATAACCGTCCATTTCACCTGGGAAACTGTGCTGTCTCTGACCACGATCCTCATTGATCTTTGTCAGTAAAGAGACCTGCGCTGAATTACTTTACGTTTTTTGTGACCTGAATATATCACATATTTGTACTCTTACCATTTCTCTGGCTTATTTTCAGGCCTTCAACAAAACAAAGGACTAGAGTAGAACCTCTACATATGACTTTAATTCGTTGCGGGACGGACCTCGTATTTTGAAATATTTGTATGTTGGTTCAAATATTCCCATAAGAATACAATGTAATTTGTATCATTTGTTCCACAGCCCAAAAACCTACGATAACTCTTTAAAAAATACTGCAAATAATTACACATAGCAATAAAACAAATGCATTAAATAAGATAGATGTAAAACATTTTTTTTATAAAGAAATCATCAAGGAAAAGGCGTTTGCACTTGTTGGCGAACGGAGGTGTAGGCTTAGCAATCCAGGAGGAGACAGTCGGTGTGGAGGGAGAGGAATGACTGAGATACAGCACGTACGGTAACTTACTCTAAATTTCACTACGTGAGCTTAAGTTGGGGTTTTTTCCTGGCTCCATGGTTGTCTTGTCATTTCCTGTTTTATTTTGAAATCTCTCATATCTGGTCACTTGCACTTCACCTGGAGTTCCCTTCCACTCATGTGTCAAATAGTCTGCGTCTCCCCTTGTCTGGTGCCACTGTGTTTCGTCCTATCGACTAATGATACAGTGCTTGAACCTTGCCCTAAAAATCCTTGCCTTGAATCTCCACATTGTTTTTCCTCGTATGAGCGAATATTATTTTGTGCTCCATAGTTTTTTCATAATCTTTGTGAGTATTATTTGGTGTTTTATTATCCTTTTGCATCCTCGATTTCCAGTGATTATTTTGTACTTTTCGCCTTGCCTTCCACTCCCTGCAAGTGCCTTTGTTTAATTAAAATCCTAATTTTTGCCAAAATCTCTGTGCTTGAGTCCTGACAGACGTCATATGGTGGAAATTTATTTTGGGTGTCGAGTCGAATATATATTTCACTTCGAATGTTGGAAAATTCGTATGTTTAGGCAATCGTAAGTAGAGGTTCTACTGTATTAGGTCCATTATAGGTCTCAGACTATATCTATATTACATCTTACCTCGGCTGAGTCCATCAGGGCCTCGAAGAATCCGGCACTCCTCAATTTGTCCATATGCAGAGAACATCAACCGTATGTCGTTCTCGTTACACTTCTTTGAGATCATTCCAATAAACAGTTTCCTGTCCTCCACCGCTGTATTTAAGATAACACACATGCATCCCTTTTTACTACTAAGCAAAAACTCACCAAGGGATAATACTGGAACGCATTATTGATAGTAAGCAATCTATATTATTGTGAAGTAAAACATATGTGCTCCACAACATTTAGAAGGAAATCGCACCCAATATTTAACTAGCACACAAGCCACAAGTCACGCCTGCTGAGTTTGATGGTTTAGTTCGACAGTCTTAATTATTTCAGCACTTACACAGGCAAGAATTTAATAACGAAAATGAAATAATCATAATCTCTGAATAGTTATCTTCAAAAAGGATATTTTAGTATTTTAATTTCTTTTCTTAGAAGGTAAATTTGAATATTTCATTGCATATTTCATCATCCCATGACTTATTTGATTATCTATTGATGTATTTAATGATTTAATGATATATTAAAATTTTCAGCTGTAAATGTAATAATTTCATGATTATATATATATTTAATGGATTAATGGGAGATTTAAAGGTGTGAATGTCATCATTTCATTATTTATTTCAATTTGTCACGCTTTTCCCTCCATAGAGTTCTTGGTTTTGGACTGTAGTTTCAGGTTTTCATTCTGCCATGGTTCTGCTCGAGGTTCCTGCCTGTTCAAAAGAAGTTTTTCCTTGCTTGTGTCGCCTAGTGCTTGCTCATGGTGGGAATTGTTGGGTTTCTGTAATTAACTTCAGAGTAGGGTCTGACCTGCTCTGTTTGGCAAGCGCTGTGAGACAACTGTTGTTGTGATGTGGCGCTATATAAAAAAAATTGAATTGAATTGAATTGAATTCTTTAACTTAGATTGTTCAGACCTTTCAACATGATGATCTTGCTTTTGTATTTTGGTCTCTGGACTTGCTTTTGGGTTTTTATTTCCAATCTGTTTTCTTTAAGTTGTTTAGTCCCAAGTCATTTAGTTTTGTGGTTCCATTCATGTCTTAATTTGATTATTCCCTTCGTCTCTCCATCCTGTGTTGTTCACAGTCTCTTCCATAGTTTTTTTCTGTGTCTCTCCAGTTTGGCCATTCACTCCTCTATGCTTAATGTTTCAGGCAATCTATGCTTGAGAGTGACAAGCAACATTTGCACTTGTGTTAGCACACCGTGTCCAACCTACATATCAGGGAGCTTCCCAATCAGGAACATTGTGAGAGAGTACAAAGCTATATAGTATGGACTGTGGAAAGCCATCACAGTCTGACATTATCGGTAATGGAATTCAGCAGCAGCTGTTCTTTTTGGGGCTGCTGAGGACATTTTTCATGTAACCTGAGATCACAGCTTCACTGTGGAAAGCATGTTGAACCATTGGTGTAAGTAGTACAACTACCACATACCCTTTTGTGAGGTCTGCCTACGATCGTTTATTTTTTTTAAAGATTTTTTTCTGGGCAGGCACATTTTGAATCCCAATTTTTGGATGGAAGACATCCCCTCATACACATTCTTACTTCCTCATGTGAGCAGGTCAGAATTCATACCCTGTATTTGAAAAATAAGCCTAACAAGCAGAATTGTAGACATCATACTGTGATTCTTACAAAGTCTGTGACTTTTTCCTGTTGGTACCCATCACTAGACAGTGCCTTGTTCACTCCTATTTGGTTACAAGTTTCAATTCCTAACCAGAGTGAAAACACAGGATAAAGAAAATAATTGAAAATGCAAGAAAATTGTTACCATTGTTTTTCTCACTATCAGCTGGCTTCATCTGGATTGGATGATGCATCTGAACAAGGTAATGAAAATATCAACAAACATTAGTGCTCTTGACAAATTACACAACATATTACAGACACTCATTCTTGGATGAGATTAAAGCTGAACACAGAGCCTATGCATCATCATTCATTTAATGTCAGTACTAATGTTGGGTTTGTGTATGTATGCATGCACATATGTAAACATTCATACATTTACGTGTATTTATTAGAATGTGGTGTATGTCGGTGGATATTAATGTTTGTTTCTTAGCTTGATTTCACGTCTTTTCTAAATTAAGCTAAATCTATCTAAGACAATGCAATTACAAAAACTTTATATTGCCTTAGAATAAATCATTACAACAGATTTGTTTTAATCAGTCCATAAACTATCTGCTATTTCTTTTGTGTATCATAGCCCGAAACAGTTATTCTAACATATTTATGACGAAGGACGAAATCTCCAATGAAGGGATGGACATTGTCGAAGCCACAAACTGATGCACAAAAGCCTAACAAGAATTGGCCACACCCAGAGCCTATGGCACGCAAATGCGGATGATATACTTAAAAAACTATTGTTCCCCAATTCATCTCTTTCAGAAAACATTTACTGAGCTTGGAAGCTGGCCCAAGGGTAATGTCTCAATCACAGCACTAAAATTGTGAGGAATCCAGTTGCTGTCATTCTATTTGACAGGAAATAGAATGCTGGAACATTGAGTAGAATCAGAAGGCATTGGAGGTTCTTTACTCTGGAGTTTCCCTCGCCAAGCGTATAAGTATACTCGTTGGCCCCAATTATGGCACCTGTTCATTGTCGTGTACCCCGGTGAACGCAAGAGTACCCTCCCCTGGCCTTTGGATGGGGGTCAGGTGCTGACTTATGTTTGTGCTTATGCACCCAAAAGCACTTCAGACCCACCCTTTTTGGAGTCCTTGGAGGGGGTGCTGGAGGGCCTCATAAAGTTTGCGATCTACAACTCCCACAGGGGTAGTTCGCAGCTGAGTGTGAAGATCCATCCATCCATCCATCCATTATCAATACCGCTTATTCCCTGTTGGGGTCGCGGGGGGAACTGGAGCCTATCCCAGTGGTCAACGGGCGAGAGGCAGGGTACACCCTGGACAGTCCGCCAGTCCATCGCAGGGCCACACAGAGACACACAAGGACAAACAACCACTCACACTCACATTCACCCCTAAGGGCAATTTCCCCAATCTCCAATCAGCCTAACATGCAGGATTTTGGACTATGGGAGGAAGCCGGAGAACCCGGAGAGAACCCACGCAGACACAGGGAGAACATGCAAACTCCACCCAGAAAGGTCCTGGTTCCCCCGGGATTCGAACCCAGAACCCTCTTGCTGGGAGGCGACAGTGCTAACCACCACACCACTGTGCCGCCCAGTGTGAAAATCATAATCTCTAAATCAGAGGCCTAGGTGTTGCACCAGAAAACTCAGGGGGAAGTTCCTGTCCGAAGTTGAGGAGTCACAGTATATCAGTGTCATGCTCACGAATGGGGGTAAAATGGAGCGGGAGGTCAATAGGTGGATTACTGCTGCTTCACTAGTGCTGAAGGAGCTGTACCAGTCTATCATGATGAAGAGAGAACTAAACCTAAAAGGAAAGTTCTCGATTTACTGATCGATATAAGTTCCTACCCTCATCTTTGGTAACGAGCTTTTGATAGTGACAGAAGGAACGAGATCATTGATAAAAGCGGCCAAAATGTGTTTCCTCATCATGGGTCACTGGGCTTTCCATCAGAGATGAGAGAAACTCAGCCATTCAGGAAGGGCTCAGTGTAGAACAGCTGCTCCTTGATGTGGAGAGGAGCCAGTTGAGGTGGTTTCGGTCATCTGGTAAGGATTCCTCCCGGACGCCTCCCTGGTGAGGTGTACCACCAGGACGACCCAGAGGAAGAACCAGGACATACTGGAGGGACTATGTCTCTCAGCTGGCCTGGGAGTGCTTCGGGATCCCCCGGAGGAGCTGGCAGAAGTGGCAGGGGAGACCGAAACTTGGTCTCCCTGCTTAAGCTGTTGCCCCTGCGACCTGACCCCGGATAAGCAGTGGGTAATGGATGGATAGATGGATGGCAATAAGGAAATTCAATTTATTGACCGAGTATTTTTTACAATAAAGGATTATGACATGGTTGGGCAGCAGAACATGTAAATATATGGAGAATTTTTATTTAAATCTGATAAAACCATAAAAAATTTAAAAAAGATAAAAGTAAGTGGGACAATATAGACTAAAGTGAGTATAAGCTAAGAACTAGCAATGCAAAACATACAGTAATGTTAGTTAAGGTAACTTATGTTAAAAAAGGTCAAAATGGAAACAGTGGTGTGACATCCAAGAGGTTTGGGGGATCCAAAGTGCAACCATAATATCCAGATTCTGTGGTACTGATTCTATATTTAATGTTTTTTTGTTTTTGTTGTTTTTGCTGTGGAGGTAGAGGTGCTTTTGGGGACTTGCAGCAAAGGTCGGCTGGCTCATGAAGTAGGGCTGAGCAACCCAGCACTCCAGTTTGAAGTTTTTAAAGGGAACGAAAATGAATGGTGTATTAAGCACATAAAGGCTATTTTCAATAAAGTACAACAGACCTTTCAGCTAAGTGAAATTTACATCTTTCAACGGTATTTGTTTTGAAAGTTCAGCGATATTTACTTCATTCCAGAAATCCATAAGAACTAACATTCATTAGGAAAGCAGATGAAAGCTAGTGTTACCTACCCCAGGCAGAATCTTCATGTTGTGCAGAGCGTTCTGTGCTTCTAAGGCTGATTTGCGCGTATAGTAAGTCACAAAGCAGCAGCCTGTCAGAAAACCAAAAAGAAGTTAATAGAAGTTGATGTGTGAGATCATTCCATTAGCATTTTTCACTATAAGATAAAACTTGAAAACACTATGAAAAAACTGATACAACACATTGACCGACTACTGATACCTTTGTGTAAAGTATTGAACTATTTGTAACATTTTCAGTTTAAGATTTTATTGTTAGTTTCTATGTGAAATCTGCTTATTGCTTCAAAGTGAAAAAAAAAGGTCACCTGTAAAGCAACAGAAGGAACTGGTGCATTAAGGACTTAGAGTTGATAGCTCCTAGTGGGGCAGAGGTTGTTAAACATGTTACAGTGGATTGTCAAGAGTTTCAACTCCTACTTTGTAAAAACATCTAGAAAAACTCCATCTTTGTGTGGTGATTGTGCAGAAAAGCTTTATAAAAAAAAAATTCTCGTCACTTTTACCATCTTCAAGGCATTTATCGCCCTGACCCTAACCCTAAAGGGAGTTGGACAGTATTGCAAAGACATCAGGCTGAAGAACAGTTCCTCTATTGGTATAAATGGACTATTAGATGGACTATGTTATTACAAAGGGATTTCAACCTCTCTCCATCTTTTTTTAAAGAAATTCTCCAAAACCCCTGAAACAATCTCTGAGTAAGACATTTTATGTGAGAAAAACATTTTTTTAAATTTACAAATGGGGGATCCGTTCATCTTATGTTGAATTTAAATTATTGTGCGTTGTAGGTTGAATATCTGCTGAGATTAGCTGGGAAAGGATGTTCAGGGAAGACCCAGGGAGGAGAAGGTGCCCAGAAATGCGCCTGCTTGCACATTGAGTAGAATGATACAGGCTTTAATCTCTGAAATTTTCCAAGTTTGTTGCTGGTCGCTTTAATAGGAAATGAGTCAATAGAAGAATCGGAAAATATACAATGCCAAAGTGAGAAAACTGGTTTTGCAGCAGAGTGCTGCTGGTTCATGTTCACTAATTTAGTGTCAAGGTATAGCACTGGGGAAATGTTTGCAGTGACACCATATGTTTTGATTTTCCCAATGGGGTCACAGTGGGGGCAGAGCCTATCCCAGCTGACATTGGTCAAGAGGTGGGATTCACCCTGTACAGGTTGCCACTCCATCACAGGGCCACACAGAGACATACAACCACATACAATCAATTTCAGTCAAAGGGGCAATTTGGAGTATCCAATTATTATGCATATTTTTGGAAAGTGGGAGGAAGCTGGATTACATGGAGATAACCCAAGGATTTGCAGGGAGAACATGCAAACTCCACAAAGAAAGCGCCCAATTCCCCCAGGGACTCGAACCAGCAACCCTGTTGCTGTGAGGCAGTGGGGCAAAAAGTGGGTATGCTCTATATGTGATGCTTCGGGGGACAAAGCTGGAGGGGGGCGCTTAAGCGGCCGCGGTGAAATAATATTTAGCCAGTATTTTCTGTATGTAACTTCTACTTTTAGCATTTAACAAAGTTTTTGCATGTGAATATTCTATAATTACGTCATCAATTTCCTCCCTCTGGAACACGATCATTTTCATTTGAATGGTATAGTGACAGGACGGTACAGATGGAGAGGCAGAACAGAAAGCTCTCAGGACAAAATCTCATATGGAAAAGGGAGCAGGAAAAAAAATACCACAGGATGAAAAAAAACTTCAAAATGGCTGAAAGACAGCAGGTGAGTTCTGTCCATGTGGGCTTGTAGATATTCAGCTTAGCTAAATCTACCGTAAAATGACATGTTACTGTTGTCTTACAACCTGTTCTCAACAGTATTTACATTACAACAGATCAGGACTAAAAAATATAAAAGATGTCGTTTGTGGTTATGCTGCCCAGACAGTAAGTTGACATTTAACCTCCTGAGACCCTGTGTCCTCATAAGAGGACGTTGCATTTTTGTCTCTCTTTACCATGATACTTCTTTTTTTCTTTCAGCTTTGACCTCTTGACCTCATAGCAGATGCTATCAGACACTGTTTGAAATCTAAAGTAAAATGGTTTTATACATTTACATCCAATCATGTTCTTATTGTGTAATAGAAAAACTGTAAATGAGTCAATGGGACTGTCAGAACAAAATTGTAAAAACATTTAATTAAATATGTATCTCATATATCTTTAAAAAAAAAGCTAAAATGCATGCCAAATAAAAGCTCGGGTCTCAGGAGGTTAACAGACGTGAGTCATAAAACGGATAAATAAAGAACTTGGGAATGATACACTTCAGTTTAAAAGTCCCATCAGAAAGTAAGTAGTGGCGCCCTTGCTGTCAGGCAAAGTTACAAACCACCACACCACAATGCAGCCGACCTCAAACATGCACCGTTTAACAAAAAACAAGGTTTGGATCTTTACTCTGACCTTCTCTCTACTCTTTGGGACCAAACTCTGCCATCTGGGCAGATTTGTTGACTAAGTTAATATGTCCCACCTGACCTTTTCAAAGAGAAAAAGGTGTAAGGTTCTACCTTAGAGAGACATGGAGGAAATGTTACCTGCTTTCCTGTTTTATCCAGACATAACCGTTAACAGGTTAGCATCCAAATAGATCAGTGAGTTACTGGTTTGGAAGTATATTGATATCTCCTTGTGATGAGGCTCAGTACTTGTAAAGGACCTGCAAGTGTACCAACTCATTGCCACTGTCAGGTTCCTTTGTTGGGTGATGGGGCAAATTTGTGTTTTCTCCGTACTTATGTTGCTTTCATCGTTAACCAGCTTTTCCTTATGGCTACAAGAGAGGCCCTTTTGACCTAAAAGTGATAACTTAACTGAGACTTGAGGCTAGCCACCATCTTACAGTGTGGCTTCTTTAATGGTTGTGGAGGGGGTGTGGCGCTCAACTGCAGAAGGGGAGGTGTGGGGCATGCTCAGGGGAGCAGTGCCAGAGGAGGTGATTAAGCACCATTCCCTCTTTAAAAGAGTAGCATCCTGGACCTGGAGGGGGACTGGAAGCAGAACAGGGAACAGAAGGACCTGCCCGGGATTGAACTGTGTCGCCTGTATGTGGGATCGGAAAATAAAGGTTCTAACCGAAACCACGGCTCGTGAGACTCTGTCGAGGCACCCATGGTGGCGAAGACTGCCACAATGGTCTTTACCCAGGAATATCCCTCATATCCAGCTACTTACCTCTTACCCTGTGACCCTAATCTTATTGAACCTTCAACAAACTAAGATTTCCCCGTTTGTTTATATAAGTAAAATTGGATTTAACCCTGGATAAGCGCTTGCCTTCAATCATGATGCTAATCAGCCTTTCCTCTCACAAAGTCTAAACTTGCATTTATACAAACCTCTGGATCTCCTGACTACAATCATTATTCCATCAAACTCAAACAGGACCGTAAGCACCAACGCAACGCAAATAGTTGTAACGTGACTGTAATCAAATTGAAGAACTTTACAGGGGTATGAAAAGGTTTGGGCACCCTTGTTGATTTGAATGGTTTTCTTTTATAAATTATTGGTTATTTGGATAGAAAAACAGTGAGTTAAATCTATCATATCGCAAAAGAACACAGTGGTATTTGTGAAGTGAAATAAAGTTTCAAGGATTTACAGGAAAAAAAATGCAATAACTGTTTAACCTAAATGAGTTGTGTGCATACATTTAGGCACCCTTGTCATTTTATTTATTTCCATATATTTAGAGCTCATTATTGGAACTCAAAATTTGTTAGGAGACCCAGTGAATTGAACCAGAATCTGTCACAGGTCAAGGGTCAAGTTGGGGTTTTGTCCTGTCTCCACGGTTGTCTTGTCATTTCCTGTTTTATTTTGAAAAGTACACATCATCTCGTTTCAGGTCCCTTGCACTTCCCTGTGTCAACCGTCTGATTGTCTCCCCTAATCAGTGATTGTGTTTACCTGGGGTTCCCTTCGTGTGTTTAAATAGTTTGTGTTCCCCTTGTCTGAAGCCATTGTGTTTCGTCATATCAACTGTTGTACCTGAGCCTGAACATTGTCATTGAATTCCTTGCCTTGATTCCCCAAGTATTCCCCGTAAGAGAGATAATTATTTGGTACTTCCATAGATTTTTTTTCTGTCCTAGAAACAGTGAATATTATTTCGTACTTTTATAGTTTTGTTCTACCTCAAAAGAGAGATTATTTCATCGCCTTGTGCTTCCACTCCAAGAGAGTGTGACCTTTTTTTTTTAAATGAAGATGTTTGCAAAGAAGAATGGTCTAAAATACCTTCAACTGCAATCCAGACTGGATATTTTAGGAAGCCTTTAGAGGCTGTATTTCTGCAAAAGGAGGATTGGTGGTACCTATATCTATGCACAGGCTTAATTTTGGTCAAATAATTATTGCACATTTTCTGTATATCCAAGAAACACATATTACAAATATAGCAATACAAACGTTTCATTTTCTGTTTTCGGTGTGAGTGTGTAATGTGCTAACCTTTACTCTGAGGTGGATTTTGGCTACGGTCTCTGAGAATATTAATCTCATACACTGCTCCATAAGGTTCAAATAGCTCACGTAGTTGCTCCTCAGACCAAGACCGTGGAATCTGTCCTACAAACATCTTAATGGCATCCACATCCGGTTGGTCAGCATGGTCCAGGGACCCGTTCATCTTCTTTCCACTGCGAAGATAAGCATAGGTCAACACAAGGCGTTGATGCTGCGTTGGAAGCCACATCTTGATGTTGATGTTCACAGGAAAAGCTTTGCTCAAAATTGCCACAGTCCGAACATCGATGTTGAGTGTGACTTTTCAGTTATTGTGCTGTTTACACTCTGGTAAAGCATTGCTTGCTTTATGTTTCTCGAATCTGATCTTTTCCAAACTTATGTTTGCATGGTATATCAAATCTGCAAATGAACTAAACTCAAATAAAAGGATTGCGGGTGAATTATTTACAGACAGAGGTGAGAGGGTGAAGTGGCACTGTGAGTTTTATTTGGTGACATTATGTACAGCTATCCAATACTAAGTAGCTCTTTGTCATGCCACCAAAAGGCTCTGACATGGTTGGAGTTTTTCTTATCCTTTTGGGTTCCGCACTATGATGAAAAGGGGTCTCAAAGGGTTTGTTTTCCACAGTTCTCATAAGATTCAGGCAGGAAACCATCATTTTGTCCAGCCCACTAGTGTCCGTCAGTAGGGTCAGCAAAAATGTTTCCTTCAGTTCCAAAGAAACAAAGTAAAATCCCTGTGCATTGCAAGAATCCGGTTTTCCAAAAGAACACTGGACAACAAGTGCGTTTGATGTATATTTGTTTGGTAATGCTGGCACACAGGACTGAAGCTTGTGAAATTAAAAACAAAAGCACATTTTTATAAATGGCTCGATAAACAAATCAACACTTCAAATGTACCAATTCATACAAACATATGACATCATTTTAAATTGATAAATTATCAATTTTTGTTATCCAACTTATCCAAATGCCCAGTTTATTCATCTTATAATATGATTCCTTTTCTATTTTTTTCGATCCATTTCCAACATATTTATTTATTAACTTTATTTTAATTTGACTGTTTGTTAATAATTCTTTTTTCCATGCTTTTGTTTACTGGTGCATTCACATCTCTTTTATTTCTTGTTTAAAAATGTTTTACTTCCCCCCCCCCCCACAAGTCTTTTTCATTTCAATGCCTTCTCTTTACATTTCTCTGATTCCTTTTTTCCTGCTTTTTACTTTCTTTTGTATGTCTGCCTCATTATGCAAGTAATGTGGACTGTCCTTCAGTCCATCTCATGAGGTCAACTTCTCTACTACGGGTCAGTCCAAAGTAAGGTGCAGTAAGGTCCACCAGTCATTTCACTGACTGCAAAAAGCCTGCAATATCAATGACTTTACAGCATTCTATGAGCTGCCACCAATAAGTACATTTTTTAAATACATTTGATTAATTTAAAATAATTTTAATAAAAACAATGTTAAAAAGACCACAAATCTTTTTTAAAGACACATAATGCAAAGAAAGAAGAAAAAATTGCCATGTCCCCTGTATAAAAAGCATTTTTTAACTCAATTAGACTTCTTGGTTAAATAAAGCTGAAATAAATATATTAGAATAGAATGCTTACATCTGAGGTACCATTACATTAACAATTGAGAGGGTGGTGCACAAAAAAAAACATATATTTTTTATTCAGTTGCTGTTGATATCAATCTCAAATCACATTTTGGCTCACCTTATCGCTGGGTTAGATTCTTTAACTGAACTCTTGCCTAGCCCCAGTATAAATGGCTGTTCCTCAGTCAGTGCCACTAAGTTTCCTTTAGGCACAACACTATGACTCTAACTAAAGGAGGTGTAGTTTGATTTTATTTAATAATTTTTTGGGCTGGGAAAAAGCGGGACCACCCAGAGAGACAATGCACAATGCACCACATGAAAACTACATAATGAGGTCTCATGACTAACTAGCCATTTACCATCTCTTGCAGTCATTGACCATGCAAATAGACCCCACTTGTTTCAGTCCTGGGGTCTAACCTACCAGGGTCATATACAAACATAATGTGTTTTTAGAAATCTTACAGTCCTACAAGGTCTTAAAACTAAACCATTGGCAGATGATTTAGGTTTGGAAAGCCCAAGCTGTGCCCAAAATAACACCCATAATCCGAAGAACGATAAATGGGTAATACTGGTTGTTGGGCAGGAGAAAGGTTGAGAAAAAAGTGGAGCAAGTTTAAATACATTTTTTCCATGATTCTGATTAAAAATATGTGATCTCTGGCACATGAAATGCACACATGAGAAAACAACATGGATGCACAGAACTATATGTCTCAACATGTCCAATAATCTTGTGTTTGCTTGTCAAACACAGACAGCGTAATCCTAGGCTTGTCATCCTGAAGATGTTCTCTGCCTGGGACGAAGAATCGTCAGTCAGATTATACATCATATCATAGAGGTGCCTACAGCTCTTCTATCCACCATTTGCTATGAAATAATGACCATTCTTTGGGCCTCTTTACCTCCAGGTGGACACCACAGGGTCCTGAAGCCCACACAAAAGAGCTATGTGGAATTCTACAGAAGCTAGCCAGCTTTAAAATGAGATCGGGGAAAGTTCTAGTGCTGAGAAAATCCTGCCTGGTTCTGGTATAGTTACCCATCTGCCCTTGGTAATTGTACTGTAGTAGCATTAACATCCACAGTAAGTCCTGGCAACAGTGTTTTGGCTCACGCTTCTAGTAGCCTACTTCAATATTGCTTCTCATTTGCATTTCATCCCCCTTTGCAATCCAACAGTTAGTTGGATTGCCACCCGTCTCTTAAAATGCAGAATGGTCCTTTATAGGTTCTCGTGGCAGGACCTACACAGGACCCCCACTACGGTCGTATGTTCCTGGCTACCTGCAGGTGGTGCCATCACCAGCGTTGCTCACAACACCCACGCCTTTTAAAAATGTCTACTGCATCCGATCTGGCTGTGTTTCCTCATAGGCGAAAACATGGACACGATCAGAAAGCAAACAGTAAAATATGTAGGTGTGTGTTTTCAGCAGTGCAAGAACAACTGTTAGGATTGATTTGATTTCCTATCTGGAAGAAGATGTCATGCAGGAGCACAGCCTACTTTAGGAGAATGTTGCAGACCTTCAGTGTTTATATACTAATGCTAATTAGGCTAATCATTTTCATTTATTGATTCTGAAGTAATATTAGACAATAAACAGTAAATGTCATTTTTGTCCATATATAACAAGAGTTAGCAAGAACGAATCTCAGAAATGGACTAAAAGATGATAAATAAAGAGTGTTAAAGGGACTGCATTAGCCTGGTTTAATTACTATTTATCTTATAGATTCCATTATGTTTGTGTAAATGTAGAATCACAGCAGACTGGCCGAGTTCCTTAGACTTCTGTACTTGGACTGTTTCTTTTCACTTTACACTTGTTTCCATTAGATAACATTATTACACAGCATGGCATTAATTTCCACTATTACTCTGATGATATACATATCTATGAAACCAGATTAAATCAATCAGTAAGTACATTTCAAATTTTTACTAAGCCATAAGATCTGGATGATTCAGATTTTTTTGCTTCTGAAATCATAACTGAAGTTGTTAACTTTGGACCTGAGCCTCTTGAGTAGGTCTATTTTCATTCTATTATTATTCTGTATAGTTACTTTAGAACGCTCCTAAGGAACTTCTGAGTTATTTCTGACCAGAGTCTGACCTTAATATCAAACATTTTCCAGGATTGCCTTTTTTGACCATCATAATATCTCAAAAATTGGGAACCTTTTGTCTGAGCTTCTTTAGCTCCGTGTTGAATTCAAAATATAAGTTAAAGTTCTGATTCTCACTTAAAAGCTCTTAATGACAAAGGTCTTTCACATCTTGAAGTTTCTAAAAGTAGAATAGGAGGCAGAGCCTTTAGTTATAAGGCCTCTCTTCATGGAGCCAGCTGCCAGTTTGGGTTAAGGAAGAAAAAACCCTCTCTACCTCTGAGATTAGACTTCAAACTTTTTTGTTTTTTTGTCCACAAATGCACAATCAAGATGGGGGATTGGATCAAGAAGATCTTTAACTCCAATCTATTAGTTTCTTTAGTATTCAACAGTTACCTTTTTACTAAGTTCTGTATGAATAGGTCCAATTGATGTTTTCCCTGACTTTGATTTGATTGTTTTTCAAATTAATTAGACTCTAGCCTGCTTGAATTGGGCTGTATCTTCTGTATATTCTTGATATGACATTTGAAATGATTTGGGGCTAGATAAACGAAGCTGAACTGAAAAAAGAAGAAAAAAACTAAAGTGAACAACTCAGTGTAAGGTTTCTAGTCGTTTCACTTTCTGTGTTACAGGAGAATCTGGCTGGCCTGTTGCTTTACCCTCGATCATCCCTGCAAGCTGTGAAAAGAGAAGCTGCAGCACAATCCGAACTACTGTAAATTCTGCTGGACGATCGTGGAAGGAAAAATCTACAGTGGGAATCTATAAAACTCAAAGCTTGTTCAAAGTGTATAATGTAAGCAACTTCCAAAGAATTTCATCACTCATAGCAGAAAAGACAAGGCAGTAACATATTCTGTTGCTTTTAAGCAAGTTTAAATCTATGCGTACCTAAAGGCGTAAGTGTAAAGGGTTAAGGCTGTGAAACCCACTTTAGCACTTGAACGCTGTCCCTGTTACCAGATTTGAAACGTTTCCTCTCCAGTATTGCTAAGTGGATAATTTTAATTTAACTGTATGCTTTCAAAGAGAGGAAATTCCCTGTGTTTTGTTTTCATTCACATATTTGACAGTATTATAATTCCAAGAAATTACATAGTAATCACCTCTATTTTTACATGGTTTGATCTTTTTGGAACTACTGAACTTAAAGAAAGACAAAAAAAAAAAAAAAAAAACAATAATCACATCACCGTTAAGTGTTGAAGAATGTACTATTAATGCTGTTGAAATATCTGTTTTTGTCTTTTTTTGGATAACCGACTAAAAACAGAGGAAACCCAAAGCTGGTAGGTAGCACATTAAATGTTTTGGTATCAATGCATTTAGAGGTCAAGAAAAGGTGCAGTGAACATTTTCACTGTTGGTATTCACCAATGACCATAGGTTCGGGTAATCAAATTAAATCCATAAACATACGACACAAGGCATGGGAGTCATTCCTATGTCTCATAAATCCAAACTGTTTGGGAATGCTAAAACTGATTAGTAATTGCTCATTTGTTTAAAGTTAAACAGTTGTAGACATCAAATGAATCTAACTATTAATACAGCTCAATTACAATGAAGCCTGTAGAACATAAAACCAACTTCTCCATTCATTCTGACCATTTTAGAGAAATCACATTGCAGTTCAAAACAAATCATGATAACTAAGTGTTACTTACACAGGACTAGAATTCAAAGAACAGTGATCCACCATCATCTCTGGGAGAAAATCCAACTTAAAAGAAGCCATGATAGCAAAATATGTGTCTTTTTCCTTCTTTTTCGTCTTCTTTGGAGCAAACCTGACAGTCAGATGGTGGTGGTAAACCCCAGATGTCACGGTCCGAGTAAGTTCCCGACAATTGGTGTAATATGGCAGCTCGGTGGGGAGAGTGATGGAGGGGTGGGGTGGTTGGGGGAACCACGGCGGAAAAAAAAGAGCTTGTTGCAATGAACTAATCAACGTGGAAAAGCTATCGACTGGATTGTTGGAGGAAACACCTTAGCATGGGATGTACGCAGTCAGACACGACGTGGCAGGCACACAGGTTGTTTCTAGTTTCTGGGACTTGGAGTAAACACTGCATGGAGATCATGGACACCGAGGGATGCTGGGAAAGCTGGGGTCAGAGAGCGAAATGACCATTTGGACCACCACAATCAAAGTGCTGATGATCCACGACCTTTGTGTGCATTTTTCCAAGCCCAGCAGATCTGGCTGCAGTGTCAGATAAACAGAGTGTCAAATTGATGGCCACAAGGCTCACTGAGCACAGAGAATAAAAGGGGAGCAATACTACTCCCGAGTCCATAGTTAATCCCTGGACTTTCTCCGCTAGAGCCTAACAATTAGGTTCCGGCCTAAGGGGGGCTGTGTTTGTCCTGTTTTTTGACATGCTGTGCTAGTTTGTGAGAGATTTGTGACTTTAAAACAGAAGTTAGGCAATAACAAGTGTCGATCGGTTTGCTGAAAAAAAACACAAAAAACTCAAATTAATTAAATGCTCATAACAACACATATGATGAAAAATATCAGTTGAAAGCTTTTTTCAACCCACCCACAGGTTAGAGTTTAAGATATTCTCATTACAGGATCACCTTTACTGATGTCATGAGGGGTGGTTCATGGAGGGAGGACTCAGGTGCGGAGATGACGGAAAACAAGTTTTATTGTAACAAAAACAGAGTGAATGTCCAGACAAAGTACAAAGCAAAGCTGTGGAAAACTGTGATCAAAGTATCAAAGCAATAAGTAAACAAGACGGTGGCAAAGTAACAAAATAACGATTAACAAAACTGTGACAAGACTGTGACTATGGCAAAGTAAAAGACTATGGCAAAACAAACCTGGCGTGGGGGTGACGAAAGACGAAACAAGACGGACGAAACGGACAAGACGGACTAGAACGCACTCGCGCAAGACAAGGGGAAACGAGGACTATTTAAACACATGAGGGAGGGGAACCCCAGGTGTACACAATAGGTAATCAGGACAAGACGAGACACCAGACGTGACAACATATAAACGTTGGAATCACATCCTTTAACATGGAATACATCCAAATACAGACAGTGATATTAATCTATTTGCATAGCTTCATGCGTTACTTTCTTTCCAAGGAAAATATTCCTGCCTGACTTTATATAACTACTTTAAAAAATGCTCCATTTAGCCTTGACCTATGATACACTACTTTAAAAACTAAGACAAACATAGGTAGATGGGGAAAGCTAAACCTGACCTTACATGGTAAAATAAATGTTGTTAAATGGTGATTGCCAACTACAACTACATATCCATGATGCGTCCTCTCAGTATACCTGAAAATATATTTGCAGAATTTGTTCAGGAGTATAATCTGAAAAAAAAGGGTGACTTCTGGAAGTACTTGCGATTAGACACTGCATATTGAAAAGAAATCTAACAACAGAAGAAGAAAATGTAATTTTGCAGCTTCTGCAATTTCCAGTTAATCATAGGGCTGCAGTGTTTTACAATAAAACAGTTTGTTTGACCAGTAGCTCATGTGAAAACTTAAGACTGATCTGGCAAATAACCTTGAATGCGATATAGACAAGGACACTTGGGAACAAATATTGGCAGATAATGGTAAATATATCAAAGAAGTAAGGTTTTTACACAGGAAAAATTTTACATAGGATTTCTTTCAAGTGTACCTGACTTTTCAGTAGTGGCTTTATCATAAGAACGGCAGGAATGTGAGCATAACAGTTTTCGACCTTGTTATACAGTAATAAAATTGTGTGTATTTCATATTCTGTCTCCATTTTTTGTTTCCTTTTTTTTTCTTTTCCTTCTTCATCATCCAGGAGCACCTTTTATTTTTACTTTAATTGTCTGACCGTGTGTTGTAAGCTTTTATTTTCTGCATATTATACCACGTATGAATCCACCCCTCCCAGTCATATGAATACTCACATTCCTCGAAGAACAGGCTGAGGAGGTGGAGTTGCAGCTATCTTTGACTCCAGTCTTGTAATCGGCCTTAAACCTAAACTGAAGTATAATCCTTTTGAAAGCCTTGTTCTGAGTATTTCCCACCAAAGCTGGAAATCACTGCAACCAATTCTATTTATCATAGTGTTCCGATCACCCGGTCCATACTGTGAATTCTTATCTGAATTTGCAGAGCTTTTGTCAACTTTAGTCCTCAAAACGGACAAAGTAATTATCATAGGGGACTTTAATATCCATGTGGATGCTGAGAATGACAGTGTCAGTACTGCGTTTATCTGTCTGTAAGAGTCCATTGGCTTCTCTCAGAGTGTTCACAAACCGACTCACTGCTTTAATCACACCCTTGACCTTGTTCTGGTGTATGGTATTGAAATTGAACACTTAATAGTGTTCCCACAGAATCCATCTTTATCTGACCACTGTTTGCTAACTTTTGAGCTTTTACTGCTGAATTACCCTCCGCTGGGTAAAAATGTCTACTCAAGATACCTGTCTGATAGTGCTATAGCTAAATTCAAGGATGTGATTCCATCAGCTCTAAATCCATTATCAGGTCACACTGAAACAAGGGACTCTTATGTTAATTTCTGTCCTTCCCAATTTGATCATCTTGTTGATAGTGTTGAAGGGTCGCTGTGAACAGCACTCGATGCTGTAGCCCCCTTAAAAAAGAAAATACTTTAACAAAGACAGTTATCTCCATGGTATACTACTGAAACCCGCAAATTAAAGCAGAAATCTCGGAAACTTTAGAGAAACTGGCATCCACCAAGTTGGAAAATTGTTGTTTATCTTGGCAAGATAGTCTTAAAACTCATAGGAAGGCCCTCCGTGATGCCAAAGCAGCGTACTACTGGTCTTTAATAGAGGAAAATAGGAACAATCCCAGGTTTCTTTTCAGCACTGTAGCCAGGCTGACAGAGAGCCACAGCTATATTGAGTCAAGTACTCCAATAGCTCTCACTAGCCATGACTTCATGAGCTTCTTTAATGATAAAATTCTAGCTATCAGGAACAAAATCCACCAAGACTTGCCCTCAACTGGCACCGACTTATCTTTAAACTCAGAAACCGTAGGAACAACTGTAAAACCAGTTATATGTTTTGACTGCTTTGCTTCCCTCAATCTTTCAACTAACTTCAATCATTTCTTTATCCAAACCATCAACCTGCCTCATGGACCCCATCCCGACAAGGTGCTTAAAGAAGTCCTACCCTTAGTCGGCACTTCTCTGCTAGATGCGATCAATCTGTCCTTATTAACAGTCTATGTGCCACAGTACTTTAAAGTAGCTGTAATTAAACCTCTTTTGAAAAAGCCTAACATGCACCCAGATGTTTTAGCCAACTATAGACCTATATCTAACCTTCCATTTATATCCAAGGTCCTGGAGAAAGCAGTAGCTGTGTGACTATCTACATAGCAATAGCTTGTTTGAGGATTTTCAGTCAGGATTTAGAGCTCATCATAGCACAGAGACAGCACTGGTGAACATAACTATTGACTTCCTAAGGTCATCAGACAAAGGACTTGTCTCCGTATTGGTTTTACTAGATTTTAGTGCTGCTTTTGACACCATTGACCATCAGATCCTACTACAGAGACTGGAACATTTCATTGGCATTAAAGGAGCCGCTCTAAGGAGGTTTAGGTCCTATTTATCAGATTGGTTTCAGTTTGTGCATGTTAACGATGAGTCATCCATGCATGCCAGAGTTTGCTATTGAGTTCCACAAGGATCTGTTCTCGGACCAACCCTCTTTACGTTATATATGCTTCCTTTAGGTAAAATTATCAGGAAACACTCTATCAACTTTCACTGCTATGCAGATGATACTCAGTTATAACTATCGATCAAGCCAGATTAAACTCATCAGATAGCTAAGCTTCAAATGTGTCTTCAGGATGTTAAAACCTGGATGACCTGCAATTTTCTAATGTTAAACTCAGCTAAAACTGAAGTTATTGTTCTAGGGCCTAAGCACCTCTGTGACGCATAATCTAGAGATATAGTTTCCCTGGATGGCATCCCCCTGGCCTCCAGCACCACTGTGAGAAATGTTGGAGTTATCTTTCTCAGGACATGTCGTTTAACTCTCACATTAAGCAAATTTCAAGAACCGCCCTCTTTCACCTACATAATATTGCAAAAAATCAGGAGCATCCTGTGTAAAAATGATGCAGAAAAACTAGTCCATGCATTTGTTTTGAGCTACAACACCACACAAAGTGGTGTAGTGGGCTTCCTTTTCACCAGGGCTTTTGTGCCGTCTTCCCTAGAGGTCGAGGGGAGGGGATGTCATGGAGGGGAGGTTCTTTTAGACCAAATTTCAGTTTAAGCAACACACCTTGGTTTTTATGAATATTCATAGTCCTACAAGTGCCTGAGTTTTACAACCAGCTTGTTGAGGGAAAAGGGATGTAACACAAATACCAGATGTTCTTGGTAAGTTATTTATTAACTAAAGGAAAGTGTCCACGAATTAACAAAAGCAGCAATCAAATATCAAAAAGAGAAACAAAACAGAAACCAACCTGCTGGACAATTTTTTTAGCATCCGAAGCAGGGAAACCCAGACATCCCTGTTCCCTGCCACTTCTGCCAGCTCCTCCGGGGGGAACCAAAAGTGTTCCCACGCCAGTTGAGAGACACAATCCCTACAGAATTTCCTGGGTCTTCTTCTGGGCATCCTCCTGGTGGGACATGCCCAGAACACTTCACTAAGGAGGCGACCGGATGGCATCCTAATCAGATGCCCGAGCCACCTCAACTAGCTCCTCTCCACGTGGAGGAGCCGATACGCATTGGCTGCCTCTGGAGTTTCACAGGCCCGAAAAGCCCGATAGGACTACTTCTTCAGCCTGACGGCATTCCTAACCGCTGGTGTCCACCAGCGGGTTCGAGGATTACTGCCATAATACCACCTTGCGACCGTTGCTCCGGGAACACACCTTGACAATGGAGGCGTGGAACATGGCCCACTCAGATTCAATGGCCCCCACCTCTCTTGGAATCGGATTGAAGATCTCCCAGAGGTGGGAGTTAAAGCTCTGCCTAACGGGGGACTCCGCCAGGCGCTGCCAGTTAACCAAACCGACTCGGAATGTCGGTACTCACACCGGGATGACGACAATGAAGGTTGACCAGCTGATCACATCAGGAAATGGGCTGCTGTGGCTGGTGGCTATTCACATCTCCGAAAACGTTGGAACAAATTTACAAACGCACATCATTTGCATAAACTAATGGCACATGAAGGATCTAATTGGGTATTTTATCGCATGAAAATACTAAAATTTAAGAAATTGACGTATTAACAGTGCTCAACTGAGAATTAAAAACAGCTTTTGGCAGCTTGATTGCTGCTGTTTACCAAGAAATGCTTTGTGGGAAAGTTCAGTCAGAAGACTTTTTTCCCCCCTTTAATCCACGTGACGTGCATCAGGCGTGTTGATATGGGCAAACCTCTGGAATTTAAGACGGCGGCCCAAGGAGGACCAGAGTGCGACACAATCCTGATGTGTGGCCTATCAACCATGTCAGCATAAACATAAATATGAGGGAAGAGGACGTAAATTGGCTTAATGGCTAAAAAAGGGGTTAGATATTTGACCAAAGTCTGCCTAGTATTGAGTGAAACACTGTAAAAAACTGCATTCCTAAGTTAACAAGCAGCATATAATCAAATTTACCCAGCAATTACACTATTTCTATGTATTAATCGATTACTATACTACAAGTTGTCCCGTATTGTTCTACTACACTACAGCTTTGTGTGTGTGTTGTGCTTGTTTTCTGATAAATGAACGTATGCACACACATATGTGTCAAACCTATTAACAGGTTGTTGTTTTTTTATTTCTAATGTATCCATAACTGATAGAATTCAATTTGGTCACATTCTTGGATCGTTAGATCCCTGACTTTTGATATGACCCCCTGAGTGGAGCATATACTGTATATATATATACTAGGGATGGGAATCTTCACCACCAAGGCGATACGATACACATCTCGATACACAGCCAACGATTCGATACATTCACGATTCATGGAATTTCTAGTAATAAGATTCGATACGATTCTCCACCCTCCTGCGATCCGGTGCGATACAGAATGATCTAAATTTAAAATGCTGCGATACAGTGCGATACGATACGATACGATACAATATGATGCGATGCAATGCAGAAGAAAAGTACACCATGGACTACATAGTTCAAGTTATGGCACGCAAGCTAACTGTGCCTTTTATTTTGAAACAAAGGAAGTGTAATGGTAAGTGAGTGTTAGTTATACTCCCTGCCACCAGGTGGCA